CTAAAGCATTAGCTTTCAATATAATCCACTTAATACTAAATAAAATATCATTATTGATTTGAATTTACCGATGTAATCAAGCTAAAAGTTAGTAATTCTGAAAAATATTAGATTATATAGGTGTATTGTATTTACTTACATATAACCAAATTAAGAAAATTAAGTTTAACAAAACAAATAAGTTTTCAAAGGACCTTAACGGAATTGAAAATGCCTGAACTGATTCTAATGCTTAGTTATGATATACAAATGAAGGCATAATTTTTAATGTGCTATGAGCTTGGATAAGTACAAATCACTTGTTGACCGTAATACACTATAATACTGTACGAAATTCTATTCGGAAGTCTATTTTAATTTTTCTGGTAGGACAGAGAAAAAGCGTTGTCTTAGTGATTATCTTAGTTTGCAAAAACTAAATAAACTGCTATCATTTTGTAAGATACAATCAAATTCATCTTAATGACTAATAAATTATCATGTATACTTGATGTCTATGTGTCCGATAAGCGAATATTTCCATAGTAATATGTGTAACTGTGATACTTTTTGTTCAGGGCATTAATAACATAATGTGTTAATTATGTAGTTTCTTATTTTAGTCAATGCAAATATATTTCACAATCAACATTGATTATCATGAAAATTTATAACACTTTAATACTAATGTAAGTAAATGGACTATCTTTTAATATTATTTATTTGGTAAATAGTTAAAATTAACAGATTAGTTTTAATGATTATTGGATCCAGGAATTGTTGTTATTAAACTCTGAAGATTTTATTGAATATAGTCTTATTTCATTACTAATTGTTCAATGATTTGTCTACTCTTTTCTAATATTTTATTTTATTATTTGCAAAATTCATATCTTCGTTTTTACGAGATCATTAACGATATAGGCTAAGAGATATATGGGAATTCGAAATGAACAGATAGGGGATGTGAAAATGGTCACTTTACTTAAAAATAATTTTGTGGCTATTGATCTTGCCTTAGATACAAAGTCGTTCGAGAGCTTGGTCCGATAGTAACGTCTAGTGAGCAGCCATTATCACTCGACCACATCATATTAATGTATATTATCAAACCAATAAGCATTCTCTTTTCTATATTAACAAACAAATATTTGTCTATTCTAACATTAAAACCCAACACCATAAGAAAATAGACAAAAATATTTTTCTTGAGACTATTTTTTAAGTGTTCAAAGGATCGATTTCTCACCGGCAAGCTTCATAGATTTAGTGAACATGATATGAAAAATCAAACTGATCTCTTTCCAATTAATCAGCATTTATGTCCATTTTCAAAAGATGTTAGAGACCTCCTATACAATTCTTTGCTTTTTTGGTTCGGTATACTCATTCCGACAGTTGCGTTGTAATGTATTGAAGTATAATTCATTATAGACAGAAAATAAAAAGAATTTTTCGGAAAAAAATTCTTACATTCATTACATTTTCAAAATATTTTCTTTTGATGTCAATATGTCAGTTGTCTCACCGTTGTATTTCTGTAAATTGAAATGTTCCTTTACAATCAGTTGATTGAAAAGATGAAACATTATGCCAATACATAAAAAGCACTATTCTGTGTGGTGATATAAAAGTTTACAATAGTTTATCCAAAGCTTATTCCTAATAATTCCTTTAATCGGAATGAATATCACCACACATTGACAGGAATGTTTGTATTCGTCGTTAAAGCATCGCGGAGATGGTTGTAGAACCCCGCAATTAAGCGAGTTTATTGATATCAAATGTATGTGCCAGGAAACAGATTGTGTTGTGTGCTACTTATGTAAACATAAGTAGTATATGACGCAAGTTTTAAACGTAATGTCTGGCAGAAGAAGATGGGGGAAGATCAAGAAAGGAAGAGCGGGAACACAATGGAATTTGTATGGAAACTCATGAACAATGGAATGTCAGACAATCGATTGATGTTTGCAACAGGAACAGTCAAGTTTGATATGATGGATTGTTATTTTGCAAATTAACGATTTACTATATGGTTGTTATATTTTTATAACTAGTTCTGTAATTTGTTGTCTAATACATTCGATTGTCCCCACTGGTGTTTTGTTCATTACAAGATGACCTGTTTATGATGTTTATAATGATTACGATTTTGAAGTATACTCTTGGATTATTTGATTTTCGTTGACTTTCGGGTTGATAACAAGGAATATATTATTCTTTGTGGGTATATAGAGTTATCCGACGGAACGTTATTGGACAATGTGCTTTCCCGAAGAATTCGGTTTGAATCAGAATAGAAAGAAGTTTTCCGGGTTGCTATTTGGTATTTTAAAACCTTGGGCCTGTATTTGAAAATGGAGTTCAAAAACTGGAATTCTTCATGACTAATTTTTAAGGACTAATCGAAAATTCTATAAATAGATGCATCCTTTCCACTTAATTGTCCTCGGTTACAATGGTTTTTCTTCTGTCTTTTTAATTATTAGGGGCTGGATCAAGAGTTATCCGGAGTTGTAGTTTAAGTTCGACTGAAAGCTATTTTTGAGTCATAACGTTCACTACTACACCACTAAAACTGTAAAAGAAGGCGATAGGCAGGTGAAATCTATAGTCACAAAGCATTAACGTAATACTTATACATGGCCTTTAATTTTGATTTGGTAAATCAATCAATTTTATTCCTACTCTACAGTAAAAATGAAAAAAAATATCCAATATGAAAACGTGTTACTACTGAATGGGAATTACATTTGGCGACAGAACTGGAAAAAACTAAATAAAATAATATATCCCTGAGAATGTATCGATTTCTCATGATGACACCTAAATATTTCTACTGGTAACCGGAAAAAACAAAACTCACATCTCACGCAAAAAACAAGTGTTACTTAAAGCCGATTACGTAAAACAATACTTGATAGGTCAATTATATTATTATTATTATCATTAGGAGCAACAACAACAGCCAATAAGACAGATATTCCTAGCAAAGCACAACGTGAATCTTGTCATTAGTTTTTTACGTTAATACAATCTATCAACTGGATGATTCTAAAATTATGACTATTCAACAGATAAAAGACCGTATATTAGCAACTAGAGAATAAGAGTGATAATATCATTGTGCAAATACTCAGTAGAACCAGTAAATAACACTTAATGATTGAAAAGGAGTCGGTGTTATTTCCTTTTTCAGTCAGAATACTAACATACGAACTCGAATGAAAAAGCATTCATTTAATGAGTCGCTGAAAATATAAAATGTCGCCTTGATATTTTGTCTCCTTAAAGTAAGACATTTGTACTACTACCAACAAAAAAGCTCCGATAAGTGTAAAATGAATATTGATTAATTTAACATAAAAAAGGACAAAATAAATAAACGCAGTATAAATTACTAAATAAATTTTAAAAAATCCCGAGTACGACAAAACATTTGTAAAGTCTCGGGGATCGGTAGTGACATTGATTTTAACCGTTGGAAATAAAAATGTGATTTCATATTTATTGTCTTTTGTAGTCTTGGAGCTCAGTTTTTGTAAAACACGTTAGTCCATAATTATGAGCATAATTAGCTAACAATATTCACACACTTACTAGTTATTATCAATTCAATCGTTCATTACAACATATCGTAAATGTAAAAAAATGAATGTAAACAAATTTAATGACGATATTTTAAAGAATGGGAGGGTGGAAAAGACAGGGAATAATGAAGACAGGTAACAACCTAAGCCTAGGAACTGTATAATAAATCGGTCTAATAAAATAAGACAGAAATTAAATGAAATATTCATGGCAAAAGAATAGAAGAATACAGAACAATTATTAAAGTGCATAAAATACCTCACAGTTGAGAAACCATCAAGTTAAACTACTTTCCAACTATTTAAATTCAATTAACATTAATAATTTATTTGAAGATAAATTTCTCTAAGTTTCTTCAGTAAAAATATACCACATGAAATTTTAGAACAAAGATGAACTGAGAAAACCTATTGAGTATAAGATTCATTTGTATACGTTTGACGGAGTTCAGTGGTGTAAGCATAAAACTTTTCAATAATCAAGTAAAGATATAAACCTTGCAGAATGTATTTCTATTTGAACATGCAGTATTATATTAAGCCATCATATCAGTGTGACTCGAAACTTAATATACTGATCATATTGACCGACAGTGCATATGACAAAGTAACTAATACTGAAACATCACTTAATAAAACCGATCAATAGACTCAATTAGAGTCAATTCTTTATAATCGTTTTTTAGTGATAACAAGTATATAATAAACCGTTACTAGCAGAACTATGAAACGTAGTGACATTTTAAATGGTTCATTCGGTGTGCAACATACTATTCATGTATTCCATTTACGAGATTTCTGATAAGATTCTTTCTGGTATTGTAAAGTGGTAATTTGTGTCAACACAACATTTTATTAGTGATAAACGAGTGGTTTATAATTCTAAACAATGAGATACGTAAATAGGTTAGTCAAACTGAAAACGAAATTTCCAAAAACTCAATCACTCCAAACAAATTGTTTACATATTCAAGTGGTTTTGTTCACTACCAGAAAGATTGATATTGCTTCAGGAAGGATATTTGTACCGTCAGTGATCGACAAATGTTCTGTTTTCTTTGGAACTACACAACGCATTTGATAAGATGATCATTTCTAATCAAATACCAAAGTTAATCAATGACCTATTAGTTTAGTATGAACCACAAATTGTTACATATAGTTTTAGTGGTATAACACACTTTAACAACTCCAGATTTCCTATCCACACTTTAAGATGACATGTCTAAATATACTAACATTTAGAACCTAACAGTATTATAGCACTTCACATAAATTTCTAATCATCCAGTTAGTAGTAAAAATAGGCAATTAAGTGGATACGAGCAGATATTTATTAAAAATATAAAAAGACTAATTTTTCGTTGGTAATTAGAAGTAATGAACAGAAGGTATATTACTAAAGACAACCATACAAATTATACTTACTTGGAAGAATAGATTGATAACGATTTTTATGACAAATTCCAGGTATAGGCAATTCTTTTTTATCTGCATGATTCATGGGAATATCCCAAAACTCTTGAAATAAAGCTGTAGAATTATCGCGTAGTTTAATTTTCAGTTGATCGTACGTTAATGGTAGGCTAGCATTTATTAATTGTTCTAAATCCCGATTACGTTGACATGTTAAATTGCCTAATGAACAAGGGAAACCAGTGTCTAATTTACAATGATGTATAGCAAAATGATGAAAATGATGCCGATGATGATGATGGTGATGATGATGATGATGATGAAAACACATGTAATTACATCGATTATTCACAAAATATTGTCCTTTATTAATTAATCCAATTTGAGTATCATTAATTGAATTATTGTGTTGAGAATTAACAATGCCATTATTGCACGTACCAGATGAAGATGTTAATGGTGAAATAGTCGTCGTGAAATTTTGTTGTTGTTGTTTTGATATAATTGTAGTGTGTGAAAAAGAATTTAATGATTGTAAATAATTACACCGGGAGTTTACCTGTTTATTATTATTAGAACTATTCACACTATTATCATGTAAAATGTTTGAGTTATTAATATTATTAACAGAATCAATATTATTACCAGATTCATTTTCTTCTGACAAAACTTCAGCTGTGCATGGATCTTCATCAAGACTGCCACCAAATACACTAAACTGTGCTGATCCTACAGAATAGCTAGGAGTAGGGGAATCAATTGACGGAGATAAAGATAAAGTAAGTGATGTACGTGATCCTCGACGACTGTACAAAAAAGGTAATAACATTGAAACAAAGAAATAATGTAGTAAATATCTAATGTTTTTACTTTAATCTGGAGAATAAAACTGTTAGATAAACTTTTTTATCAATGATATCAAAAAATATGTTAGTTCAAATTCTGGGGCCATGTGAATTCTCTATTGGTTGGGGAAAAATTATATTATTGAGACGTAACCATACTCTGATTCTAGGGTTTAGGTCTGATTACCTAGAACAGATGATGTGGACAAGGAAAACTCAATAATTTGATGAAGATTGCAATAGTTCATCAACATTTTGCAGCTTTATTTGATAAGTAATAGAAATATGCTTCAGCGAATAAGTGAGTCATGTAAACAGTATACTAAACATTATATGTAATGTATGAACAACATATTACATAGACGAAAATTTAAAATGAGTACGCTAAAAATATAGGAAATACTGAAAAACGGAAGATATAAACAAAATGCATTCAATTTACTTGCATAAATGGGTCGAAGCAAAGCTCAATAACACAGATTACTCCGTATCAACGAGTAACTAAACAGAAAAGTTTCATGATAATTCAAAAGACTGGAGACAAAGTTTGACGTTAGTGAAACAAGTGTTAACAGAAGGTAGTTTTGCTAAATGAAACGATTTTCGTAGGTTAACTCAGTCAGATATATTAACCATAGGTTAACAAATGTCACCACATAAATATTGCTAATTCGTGAAGCAAAGCAAAACCATGTACTTGATCTAATTTAGTAAGGTGATCAAAGAAAACAATGTGATTCATGACCTTAAGACGACCTGTTTAAACTCTGATTAGTGTTTGTAAAAGGCGATCCAAGTTAGAAAAATCTAAAAATTCTGGAAGAATAAAAAGGTCTCTTAGTAGCGAAAAATGGAGGTCACATTTAAAAACGTCTAACAAAATATGTCAGAAATGCTATGAAGAATTTGTAAATAGCTTTAGGCAGTCGTACGGTATCACTAATGCTCAAGCAAAGTGTGCATTGAAGCCAAGCATCTAATCATGTACTTAGTTAGTTATTCGGATGACTCACATACTAGTAATATAAACCGTTACTCAATAATCAGGAGCAGAAATTCGGCACACCATCCATTTCATTTATCGTGTTTTAACACATAATCACGAACAATTATCTGCCGAAAACACATAAACATCATATTAATCCATATCGAATTTCTATATAAAAATGTTTACTTTAAAATTAAATCTACTTACAAATAGATGACAAATCACTTGCTAAATTAGTAAAAGATTATGCAAACTAGTTGGTATAGATACAGAGGCTTGTTAATTTGTAGTTAAAGTCCATTGAGGAAATATGAATTAGAAAAATGTCATCGAGATTATCTATTAATTAGAGAAAGAACTGATAGATAATAATAATAATAAAATGAGAAATGATAGTCTGATATCTTGTTAACAGTTGATCACTAGTATTCAATAGGCATATTCAAATATAATTTAAAGGGATTTTTAAGTACATTCACTAATATCAAGGTACTGAAGTTAAATGAGAAAAAAATTTATTTCAATTAAAATCGAGGGAAGAAATAAAGGCTTCTCGAAGACTACTATGAATACGAATTTATCAAGACATATACAAGTAAAGAGAATAAAGTAGAAACTTTCACAACTGTGAATCTCTTTGTGGTGGAAAATTCGTCCAGTGTACAATAGGGAATCAAAATAGTTCAGAATAATGAACGAGGCATAATCAGTAACAAAAACGGATAATTAAAGCAAAGCATACCGTATAAATATAACTAGCGATTTCTACACTCAATCCACAATAACAAATGAGTAAGATCCGACAATCGTAAAAATATGTTACCACCAAACATCATAAGCTAACTTATAATCAAAATCAAAAGTTTAGCACTTAAGAATAATATCGATGAAATGATTAGTCCAGCGAAGAAGACCTCAACAAGTCTACTTTCAAAGTTTATATATATATATATATATATATATATATATATATATATATATATATATATATATATATATATAATGAAACAGGAATTACATAGTCATTAGGTTAAACAGAGTAAGCTGGATTATCGTTAACAAGCATATTCTCAAATTGATTCAAGCTGTTGAGTTACTTACTTTTGAAAGTGAGCTATAAAACAACCCAGCTATGTCCAGAATAGAATCAATGGGTATTTGGGACTTATCTATAGTAGTTATTGTATGTAGCCTGGATATTATAAAGCCTGAAAGTTTCGATCTATCAAGTTGTTCAAGTGTAACTAAACAATTACTCCATATTCTTCTCGAGATTTCCATAGAAACAGAGAAATATCAGTAAGTCATAATAAATATAAACTCTAGTGACGAAAATGTGCAATAGCTCACGTCACCATACCGAATTAGCACAATGAGATGAGATTGGCAAGATTAATATTGAGGGAATCGAAACACCAGTAAGTAGTGTTAAAGATGAAAAGGACTGAACATTGAAGATATGGTTTGGATATAAGGTATGTATGAAAAAACATTAGAACTGAAGGTAAAGGGTGAATGCAACTGAGTCATTGTAACTGATTCTAGTTGATGTAACTTAACTTCTTAAACCACAGATCACGCTTATCGCTTGGACTTCATAACCAAGTAGTCTTCATGTATCAAAACAGTTAATTCCAACAGTCAGTATCATCATGCACTGATGCAACGTTTTAGTTTGGCCATCTCTACTTGTTCCCCACTCAGCATTGTTCGTCGACGAAGATCTTGGTAGAGAATCTATAACACATGTCCCAGCCGCCTGAATCGTCGGAGATTTACAGCCTCATCCATAAATATTGTATCCTATAAAGTAACTACCATAGTGATGTATTTTTATTAAACATTTAACTGGTTGGCTTCCAACTACATGAACTAAAGAAAACAACATTTTGCAACTAGCAAAAGTATTTTCAATTTGTTTATTGAACTGTAACTGAATAGTTCCTAGGTTTATATCAACATTACTGTGTAATGACTAATAACAGTAGCTGACTTCTCAACTCAATGTAGGTGGAATAAGGTCCGTCAATGGGAATAACAATCACAAAAACGTCTCGTATACTGATAACGTTTAACAAAACCTATTTACCTTTCCAAAAGACCCTTGGATCGCGCTCGACGACTCGCAGTGAATCCAATGCCTGGATAGGTTTTCGGGACTTGCGTACTACCACCAGTACAATTAGTAGTGTTAGTACATGACGACTGATTTAATTCCTGAGTAACTGTATCTGAATTGGGACAGGCAACATGACTATAGGGTAAATTTAATAAAGGTAACGGTTGTGTTGTAATTAAAGTTTGACTACATGGTGCAGATTGTGATTCGCACGGCGTACAATGAGAATGTAAAACATCAGCTGATGTATTTAATATCAGTGGATTATGCAAAAGTTGTGTTGGAGTAAGTGTGAATGTACCCAAACTATTATTCTGTAACATAAGTGAACTAGGTATTGGTTTACATGCTTGATTGAATACATATTCTTTAGGTTGAATATGATACAACTGAGTTTCAACTGGTGGACTGGTTGCCATGAACGAAGAAGTAACTAAACGTGGAGGAGGTGTCAGATGTCGACGATTAGCGATTGATGGAGAAAGTGATACGGGAGACTTTTTTATAACAGATTCCAAATTCTTCGGTTCTTGAATTGAATCAGCAGTACCATCCAATGAGTTTGTACCATATTGTTTACTAGGTGAATTCAACCGAATAGTATTGTCAGGAGTTTTTGTATGCAATTGAAGTATTGGGCAACAATCAGTAGAAATGCCGCAAAATTTTAAAAGTCCAAGCAGCGAAGTTTTATTATTGGTAAGGTTGTCTAAATTTTCAGCATTAGTTAATGAAGCATAATTTTTTTGTATCGTAGAAGATTTGTCTACATGTATTATTTTTTCTGCATCCACTGTAAGTTCAGATTCCTTTTGCCCAGAAGAATCATGATATCGTTTCTGATAGATACACCGGAATACCTGTGTAGAAATCAAGCAAACAATTAAAGTTGAAGTCAACTAATGATAAACATACAATTGAACCTAATCATTCAATCAACGGGATATAATGTGAAATGCGATCAAATATAATCTAGTCTTTAAAAATACATTATTATGGCTGTTTTTAGTCACATCATATACTCGATAACACTCAAAGAGAGTTACATGTGAAATAAACTGTAGTACATTTCCATTTATTTTTATTAATTTAAACACATAAACATCGGTACAAGGAGACACCAAATATATATATACCACATAAATCATTCGATTTATGTGAGGGCTGGGATATCGTCCGGGTGCCTAGACCGCGACAGGTGGTTTTCTTAGGGGGCCACACCCTGAGCATTCGATCTAGAGGTCTAATCCACAAGGCAGTGGAGCAACGTAAGGAGATGCAGTCCCATAGTAGCCGGTGACCGAAAATAAGTTCATGCGTCATTTGTTACCTTAGGATGCCGGAGCCCATGTTTACCATTGGTTTGAAATCAGGGTTTCCCAGCACACCTATGTAGATCCTCTGTATCCACCAACCCGGTTAAAGCGCCGGACATTCGACTTTCGTCTTCTCAATTTCGTAAACAACACACCCGCCACGAGAAGGCAGTGAGTAGGACTTCCCTGGCAGTGGCTGTATACGCGTGGCCATGTGAGAGCAGTTCCAGAAGGATAGCTGACTGTCCCCACTCTCAGCCGGACATTTGGAGACATCGTACAGTTCACTTAAGAACATTATATGCCCAATATATACGTTTCTCTAAACGCAGATATTCACATACTTAGCTTTTTAATAGAGCTTAAGTTATATGAAGCAGTAATAAACTTATTTCAATAAGTTAGAAATGATTTGAGAAATCTCAATATACCTTCGAAGAAAAAACATAATAAACACAATAAAACATTTTTTGTCTAAATGACGATAATCTTGTAAATGGGTCAACATTTAATCTGGGAAAAATTCCCAAACTAAAATCACATGTATTAAATCCTACTGTAAACAAATTACACAGTTGAGATTATGATGTGTTTATGTTAAGAAACTGTAATTATTAATAGAGAAAGCAGAGTGGACAATTTTCAAATTTCAGACGAAATTGTGAAATGGTTAAAAAATATTGGAATAAAGAAAAACGAATAAACAACACATGATAGGTAAAATGGTTATGGAAAGTATATGAATGTAATAAATAACACATAAAATAAAGTAAAATCTATTAAGGTGGAAATAGATATACTTAATCAGCTTACACACTGAAACTTTATGTAAATATATTTTATGAAACTAACAGTAGGAAATGAACAAAGTAAATGAAAATTATGACCATATTACTGATAATTTCGATTTCTTTTCCTGAAATCTTTTTTATTCAAATGTATGCATATTTTTATAGTGAATGATTTATGAAGAGAACATTTCTAAGTGGTATTATTTCCAAGTAAATGAAATTCTTGATCGAGTTATTCTTTATTCGATAATGAAGCTCTGAATGGGGAAATTTTTCGAGATCAAGTTAGAATTCATCATAAATATTTCAATTTAGATTAAAAAATTGATCAATCTAAAGATTCGAAGTCTGGACAATAAAGACATTCCATTACCATAAATTTAAAGCAATCGTTTAACAGATAAAACACCACTTTTTTCAACCAATGGGTTGGTGTTTAAAACCCAGATTTCGCCAACGTCGTTTTGGGTAACCTTGTAGTATCGTTATGCGACAAATAGTGTAGTTCTAATTGAATTAACAGACGTGTACTTGGCAAAAAACTGTTACTACACAATTATAAGTCGGGAATCAATAAGGACTGATTACTATCATTATTATTTCTCACGGGAGCATTTTAAATGAAATTCATGCACAACTCACAAAACACCTTCACGATTTTACTGAATTTAATATCTATTTTTAGTAATTATAATTATTGTATGATACATACTAAAATACCGTAACTGTGCATCAACTTATGCCATTATTTGTGAGATTTCGTCTTTAGAGTTATGACTTAAGTCTCTGTGCTTCAGTATCAGGTGAATAGATAATGGATCAGAATACTTGGTGAGTTTTTGAAGAAACTTCATGATAAACTTTACCATATCGCATTTGTGACATGCTATGTGAATTTGATTTTCGGTAATTACGATCAAATGAATATCATGTGAGTAGACATCATTTCGTTGGTAAAATGAATAACGGTTGAAAACTGATGAAGACTACAGAGAGTTGTATTATCTTATTTTAATAATCCCCAAGTTACGAACGTCACAAATCAAATATTTGGATGGTGGAATCATTACTAATTACTGTCCCAATAAAACATAGAATTTTCTAAGTTCTACTAGTAAAGTGAAGAGTCTGTCAAACACCAGCGACGAATTGACCAAACCTAAAAACTATAACTCTGTTTAAGAATTAGAGTTGGAAGTTTAAATCTGAAATAAGTGTTATAGGTTGCTCTAAACATCTAAGTAAACTTTCATAGTACGGTACTTTATTACAAACAAAACTCTTAAATTAATTAGAATCTTAAACTCAACCGTAGTAATAATTAACAACAATATCAATAAAATGTACTCACCAGATCGATACAAAATTACAAAATAGTAAAAAAAATCTATCCAGAAAAAATAAACACACCCTCATAATCAATCAACTAATCACTAACCCTTTGGAAAATTGACTGGTCATCATCATCATCCATTGTCGTAGCCACTTACAATTCAATCACTAGTTAGAAATGACAGTAAGAATTTGAAATTGGGACGACAGCCCACAAGAATGACGATTTTGTATCATACCGATGAATGTCAATCACCATATTTTTTTCTATCACGATATGCATTCCGAGTTATTTTTCCATAGAGAAAAGAATAATTTATTTTTTCTAGTATTTGTTAATACTATTGCACGAAATAACATTGTTTGTAAACTGTAAGTGCATTAATGAAACCTAGAAAATCCAACCAAAATTAGGTCAGGATTTTTTTTACATATATATATATATATATATATATATATATATATATATATATATATATATAGGGAGAGAGAGAGAGATTCGAAATGTTGGTTCTATGAGGAAGTGTAAGCAGAGAATAATCATGATAATCCAGCAATTAAGGTAGTGACGTTGAGTAGCGTAATGCAAATTATAATAATAAGGGCTGGATAATATCTACGAGATATACGTATTTAAGGAGGGTGTAGAAGTAAGAAACCATCATACTGTGGATAGGACAAACTAATCAAAATAAATATTTCTGTTTTATCAAAAAAATCAAGATGTTAAGGATCAAAATAAAAACATCAAACGAATACGAAAATTGACTGAGGAAAAGGGTATACAAAATTAAAATAATATAAAGGCCGATATAAAACAGGACATATTTTGTCAGTACACAGAGGTCAGATTTTTCCTCAAGAACACTCGTAGCTATTGCTGTTTTAACTAGCTAGGAATTAGGAAATTATAAAATAGTAGGACAAGTTTTATACACTATCCTTAAGACAGTATGTAGCTTAGTTGAATGATCAAGGTTCATTAATGCTTACGAGTTGAAATATTGGCTGCTTTTCTATCATCCTTTAGAAACTGCTAAAAATGTGCTTTTGTATACATGGTGAAAATGAACTTTGACTAGGAAGCATATGCTTCTTCAGACTGTAGGTTACTACAGTCAAAATGGAAGTTGGTATCGATTTTACTACATATTTATTGTTCTCTACAAAATACAGTATATAATCTAACAAGAAATGAAATGAAAAACTTCTGATTTTCCTTTTTAGATCAATGTGAAATTTAAATGAGCCCCAAACAGCAAGAATGGACCCCATTTTATAGTGATCACGAAAGCAGTACGGAAAAAACCAAATTGAACTTTAGTGATTGAACTGTTTATTTTCTAAGACAAAAATGTGGCATCTAACATTCCAAAACATATAATACATTGTAATTGTGCAACTTTAATTACGTTAATGTTTTCTCGCCTTCTGTATCAACCTGATTATGTCTGTAAAGCGGCTCAAATTTTGTTATCATCCTAAAGCTATATTATTATTATCACCATTATGACCATGCCACATTATTCAGATAAGTCAAAATTTAATAACCAGGATTTTTAACATGAAACACTTTGATATTTCACCAATATCGTTTACTATTACAAGCAGATAGCTCCTGTGTTTAATTTTTCTTTTTTCACTTATTTCGCTTTCAAATGGTCAGTTCTACGGAGAAACGGATTTTTTCCACTTACAATTATTGATTATTAACAAGTACATTATAAAATGTCATAGAAAAAATACTACTACTACTTATGATTAAAATAATAAATATATGACTTACCGAAATTAGTAAAAATAATAATTTAAAGAAAATAATTTCAACAGTAAAATATAACGTGAATGCTATAGATTGATATTTAGTGTTCAACAGACGTAATCTTCGAATTGTTGATAGTAAACAATGGGAAAAATAGTTATACACCGTGATTTGAGAAAGAAACGATGATGAACTGGATAAATTAACAATAAGAAGCATACAGGTAAATCACTCGAGTATTATAATAGTTTACTGTACAATATGTTTTATATATTTTTTAAACTATGTACTAAATAGTGATGGATTAATACATGTTTCATATGCCATTAGCAGATATTCGTTGTACACAAGATCATTTTCAATTATATAGTTCATTGAAAGTGTGCATGTATGCACCAAAAACACAATTGACATTTAAACAACTAAAAAGAAATAATTCAGAAAGATAAAACCACTTGATATGACAACACAACATCGGTGATTTGCAACTAAAATAAAATCTCAATTTAAAACACCAGTAGTGTTTTATTTAATAGAGTCATTGAAATTTTTTAAAACTAGTCAAATTTCCTATCAATTAGAAGACGATAAAACAAATCCCTTTCTAAGAAAGATAGATACATAGCAGAAAGTTTTGAGTAAAATCCATAAGCTGAGAAAAACGAAACAGATGATGAGAATGACGCAAGAATATAGGATGTAAGCTAACAAACATGAGACAGGAATTATGTGAACTTCGATAATCATTAGGTTTTTTTAAATAAAACTGTTAGATAAAATGAAAATTTTCTTTCTACATTCTAATAATGTTTTTAGTATGTGGCTAGACATAAATTTGACAACACATTTGATAGGTAGAAATGTTTCAGTCAAAGTCAATCATATAATACATAAAAATATACTATTTTATTAACCAATCATAGAGGAATGTTATAAAGTTATCGAAGAATGAATATCAGGCTACTAATACAATTATTACCATTAAAAATAATTTTTACTCCAACCACAGATATATGGTAGTTTAAAAAGCATTTACAATCCAAATATGGTAAGACAAACAAGTTCTTCATCTCGAACGGATGTTAAAGAATTAACAAAGTAATTAGAAAAGTGAATGTATTCACTTTTACTGGACAAAATAGACATCGTGGTTAGTGGGGGCCTGTAACATGAGACTATATTTACGAAAGATCTGCAATACGTTAATAACATTAAAAAAGCCTCTGTTAAACCACTAAACTAGTGAATAACTGACAATTTGTCAAGTGTCAATAACTACCATAACTTTGACATTAATTTACAAGTAGAAACCTCCTTCTTAATACCAGTATAAGAAACGAAAAACTGGACATAGACAAATCACTTTCCTACTTTTAGGAAAAAACATTTGAAGACTGCTCTAAGCGAATGGAATCATTCACCAACGAACAGACTGATAGATCCAGTTTTTCATGGATGTAATATAAATAACTTTCATATAGCGAATATTATGTGTCTTCCCGCGAATTTCAGATGTTATTAAGTAATTCTCACTGTTTATTTTTCCAAATAATACATACTAATTTCACAATGTGACGGATCTTACTTCTTACGTGTAACATGTTAGGAAGATCAACTTTCAACTAATGGACCTCATGTTTTTAGTGAGAGAATGGTCTTTTAATCAACCAGTTCTCGTTGACATTTAGAAAATATTAAGACATTTTTATCGCAACCAATAATATATATGTTGGACGTTAGCACTCCCTTTCTTATACAAACGGTTTTGTTCGTACTTTCGTACACTCTCAATCTAAATTTATGCTTGCTGTTTATTATGAACCAAGTTGGAAATTGTAGATAAAGGGAAACGTAACAAAACCCATTAGGATGACTGAAGCTCTTGCTTGACTCCAACTCGACACCTTAGAAAGGTACATAGGTCCACGATTCCACACTGTATATCAGCACAGTGAGAGGAAATCGAAATGAGGAGCATGGACTCGGAAATGCGGCAAACAATTGAAGTATGAACTATGATAAATAGAGTTACCAACTACCATAATCTTGGAAAAACCTGCTTCGGTCTGGACATCCGGGCAGTATCGCAGCCCTTACACATATCAAGTGGGATCTGTGTGGTGCATATGTATTTGGTACCTCCTTGTACCAATATCTATGTGTTAAAATTAAATTAAATTAAATAATCGTGGAAAACTATATGTGACCACGTGCTAACACAAGTACGGGGTTTTCTTTAATAATAGTCCCACTTAAGCCAATATTATGGATCGGAGTAGGTGGCGAATTTTTATGTATGATGCGACTGACATGTCCCACCTTAGTATGTGGATTCGTAATCTGATCAGCTCATCTAATAGTGACGCTGTTTACACTTTATTCGAAAGTTAGTTATGACTTAGTTGCCTGAACTAAGGAAGTGAGGTTCTGGACTTTTAGTTAATTTACAGTCTATTTGTCTAAAACTTTGCACTTAAGATAATTTACCTGGTGGTTCTATTGCTAGACTTGTGACTGAATACTCGTGGTGTATGTAGACGTCTTACTGTTGATAACTATATATAAAAGCCATATAACAGAATTGAATGAACTGTGGAGCCATATATCTGCCTGCTGGTACACAGCTAAACATTATATTCACAGCATATGTGAGGGTTAATGGAAGCCGGTTAAGCCTCTGTAATACTGAAATTTTGTTGAGGACTATTATTAGGGTCGATCCAGGTTTTGAAATAACTGATACAGTCTGTAGATTTAACCAATTCGTTCCTCATCCGTAAGATAGGTACTGGTATGAACGAATTGAGGAGCATTAATACGCATGCAGAAAGCAAGTTCGACTCTTTGCTCGAAATCTCCAGAAACTCGTAAACTTCGTTAGTGTTACTCTCGAGAGCATTGTTTTTAATGTTCCAACTGCAACAAAGGCATCCATTATCTTTGACTCACCTTATAAGATAAATAAAGCTAGTGATATTATTTGTAGGTTGAATAATTACAAGCTTCCCTTTGAAATATCATCAGTGGTTCGAAAATTGAAGTGCTATTATAAACGAAATAAACATAGACAGCTTACATCAATAACGCAGAAGTGCATGGTTTAAACATCATCCGCGAGAAACAGAAAATTTTTTATTAAAATTTGCCTATAGATTGTAAAAGACAGTTCTTTGTTATGGAAAAATACTAACCTACACATTGATCACACAAACTTGGAAGAACAAAAGATCAGTTAGTAGGAGTGGCCAAGGGGAGACAAAGAATAAGTTCCTTCAACACCATTATTCTGAAACTACAAAACCGAGCCTATTAGTAGATGGGCAATTACAAAGCGTACATATTTTTGTCTTAAGGAGAGTTTACACGTACATTTATGGTATCATTTAAAACCTAATCCTTGCATGATAACAAATTGCGTGCTGTGAAATAAAACCTTGGTGTTATTTATTAGACTACAGGCAATTATTAATAAAGAGATCTCTACAGATACCTTGAACAAGATCCAAGAAACAAAAGACAAAAAACAGAAATCAACAACAGCCAAACAAAAACGGAGAAATTCAAGGCACAGGATTAATACATGGACATAGACAAACGGGTGGAGACTTGCTACAGATTTGACAAGCAGAAATATTTAGAGCACCAGACAGTTGCAGCAGAAAAAGCTGTAAGAGAAGACAGTGTGTATTATACAGGCTGAAATTTTAGTTCTCGAGGGAATATTGTGAAATTCGGTAGTAATCCCGAATAACCTTTTTCATCTTCTGAATTCATTTGAAAAGTGGAATATCTGCTTTGACACGGATTTTCAGTAGTTAAATCGTTGTAGTGAGTACTCTGTCAGAGGAAATCCTAAGAGTACATATTTTATTCACATAATATCAGTAAGCAGAAACACTGTCTATCGCGTAATTTACTACACAAGTTCAAAAAGCTCTCTTATTTTAGGTGTGGTCTCACAATCACCAGGGAAGCCGAGGGATCAAGAAAACGCATCCCAAAATAGGCTGTTAGTCAGTTAAACAAGACTGATACAAAGTAACTGTTTAGTGATACACAATATACAAAAGTATGGGCAAATATGCAATATGCATTGGGTTTGTGCTTAATTTGAAGTCAGAAGTACGAGTGCGAAGTAAAATTAATTGTTACGGATAAAAAAACGAGGCAGACGGAACTTTAAGAATCAACCTTTTCAAGTATAACTGAGTGGCAAAAATATTGACGTATTCGCAAGTATACCGCACACTTTGATATTACTGCCAATCTATCCAACGCTCAATATCCAGATTCAAATTTCATAACTCAAACTTTGCTTGCGCAAAATAACAAACTATTTCTTTTGTACGACCTACATCTGAGTTGTGGAAAAAATTCTAGTTACAGAGGAAACACGTCTCCTGTCATATTCTTTCTGAATCGCATATACGAAATTAATAGTTCTAATCTGTTGTTCTATAACCGGGATGAACCATAAATTCAACATTCTTACAACTTTCAAAAGATGATTAAGAGTGATCCAATGATTCTATCGTATGAATTTTTTCCCATCAGCGCCATTTCAACACATTTTTGAGTATATTTTAAACTATAAGATGAAAATAATTCCTTTATTTTCATCGCTTGATCGGATACTTCTTTATAAAAATTTATTTCAGATTCAGTAATACAACAGGATGTTTTTGGAATATATTCAATGGCGACACGAATCCGTTTAATGCCAATCCAAGAGATAACTCTCGCTACAACCACGTTAATACTTCATTTATTCGAATGCCAGAGAATTCATGCTTACCACGGAAACAACCATGATCAGTCAGTAAGCTTTGTGCAAACTTCGTCTTGGATAAAGGTTTTCTTTCAGTTGAGTTAAAATATTTTAATGGGGCCCTTTATTTTGTCGTTATTTAGATCGGACGATGTTAGTTGCTGGGCTCTCCACTTTAGTGGCCAGGGATCTGACTACAATTTGATTGTATGAATGGATGTTATTGATATATACATATCGCTTATCCCCGTATATAATCATCGACTTCAATCGAAAAATGCTCTTTAATGTTGCCAGTGCAAGGTATGCTCGAAAGGCATTTTTGTCACAGTTAGCATAAGACTTCAAATCGTAGGGTACCAGAATTTAAATATTTTTCGACTTAGGATACTGCTACAGCGGAGTTTCTTAATATTTAACTGTAGTCTGCAACATGTCGCAGATGAACTACTTTACACTTTGAAGTGTTAAAGGCAAGTCCTTTATCGTCTGTCCAACTTCGAGGTCGAGTCAGATCTTCCTGAAGTGCCTGTATATCCTCTTGGTTGCGCATCTCTCCAAAGTTTCACGTCGTCAGCAAAAAGAGATGTCAGACGATACCTATTGTGGAAGAAGAGAATAGGTCCTAGTACTGAGCCCTGGGGCACGCCACCAGGCCAATCCATAGCCTGAGATAAAGCGAAGTTAACCCTGACCCTAAAATGTCGATTTATAAACATGAAATGAACCAGTCAATTAGATGTGATTTGATACCCGATTGTTTGAGATTATTGATAAGACATATACGGTTAACCCTATCAAAAGCTTTTGAGAAATTAAGGTAAACGATGTCAACCCTTCCCTCGAGATCAAGGATGTTTGTCCATCTGTCCACCTCAGTCAGCAGGTCGGTTGTACAAAAGTGACCCTTCCTGAAACCATGCTGGTGGTTAAGGATAATAAATAGTCGTGTATACCAACATGAATCGGGGACACCATAATCTTTGAAGGTATGGAGAGAAGAGCCACCGGTCAGTAACTTGAGGGTTCACTACGTCAGCCTCCTTTGAAAATTGGTGTGATGTAGGTAAGCTTCCAATTTTCAGGGAGTTTGCCTCGACTTAGCGAGTGTGAGAACATCACGCTAATCGGTTTGCCAGGATCAAAGCTGCTCCCATCAGTGTAGCAGAATAAACCATATCCGGGCCAGGAGACGTGTCTTTTCTTAGGTGCTGCAGCTTCTGGAACACCACGTTAGCGCTCAGTTCCATTTCGAAAAGTCCTGTGTAGTTGCAGATGAAGCTTTCATCAGTATAGTTGATGTGGGTCGTTTGAAATGTCCGAGAGTATTGTTCAGCCAAAAGGTTAGCTCCATTGCCTTCGTTAATAGTCAGGCCATTAGGACCTAGCAGTTCGGAAACTTCAGTTTTGACTTGTCGAAGAGAAACTGCATAACGGAATAAGCTTTTCGGATTGGAGACAAATTTATCGATTAGCTTTATCCGGTACTGAAGCTTGTATTTTCTTATTGCCTTCGTGCAAATGTTCTCTATATGTTTGTCTTGCCTGTACGCGCCGTTGTTCTCAGTTCGTTTGTATTCTGCCAAACAGTGCCTTTTGCAGCCTGGCAAACGAAGAGTGCGGTTCTTGATGATGGTAAGTTGCTTGTAGCTATTGGGAACCGTTTGACGAACTGACTGCTTTGGAGCACATAAGAGCGTGTGCAATATACAAGGATTATCCTAAAATTATGAGGTGAATATACCGCTGCTCCCAACTCTGAGCATTCTGCTAAATTGCACACTGAGGACAGAAGAGCAGAAGGTAGTGTCAACTATTTTCAAGCACCAACCTCTATTCCTTCTGCTCTCCGATGAGTCAGTCTTATAGTGAAAATACAAACATTTGATGAAAATATTTACCTCGTTAAATACGCTCAGATATGTGAATGTAGGGCCAGTGTGATTTCATTAGGCCCCTGCTAATCCACTGACCAGCCGGGTCACTGAATATCAAACGGTTTGCCGATCCTCGTCTACTTAGGGAACAGCCAACGTACATCAAAGAATCGCTCACCACAGACTGATCCATGCGGTGGTAGTCCCATTGTGTTTCTTGTACCCACTGTTGCTAATGTATTTGAGTAATAACGGCGTTTGTGTTGTGCAGTCATCAAAGTAGCCATAGTATCTGAATACGATGGGCGAGAAGTCATGGGGTTTGACTTCGACGTTAGCTGGTTGATCAAACCATTCCCGTCTAACCCGAGAAGGATCCCGATTGTTTGACACAGGTCATCTACGTTGATGATCTACGCTGATAAGTGCGACATGCTTCGAAGACGCAACATTCTGGTGATCTGCTGGCAACTTTCCATGAACTAACAATGAAGACAACGCTTTAAAAATTTGCTGATTTCTTTGAGGTGTCTTGCGTTGGCAGTATTTCTCATGAAGGAAGGACTACATCAGTTCCCGATGGCCTGTAGGATGGTTTCAGAAACTGGAGAGGTCAAAAGATTTCAGTCCATATTAAAATGAAAAAGAGGCTGCGGCACAAAACTTTAAGCTAGATATTGTCGCTATATTCTGCACTTCCCTTGAGATGCGGATGTCCCTATGATTCAATCAATAGCCAGAAGAAAGGAGGAACGCCGGGGTAAGCAGTCTTGTCTGGTATTGGTCTTCATTTGGAATGAGTTTATGAGCTGTCCTCCGGACACAACTTCGCAGTTCAGTCCCTCGTAAAATTTCCACATGATAGTGACAGTCTCGTCAGGTACTCCATAATGTTAAGGGATGTCCCACGAAACTTCCCTATCTACACTGTCGAATGCTTTCTCGTAGTCGAAGAAGCTGATGTATAGTGATGAGCTTCATTCAATCGGTTGTTTGGCGATAATCCAAAGTGTCGCAATTCGGTTGGCACATGATCGATCCATACGAAACTCGTCTTGTTGATCTTGAAGTTGGGTGTCTATTGAATTTTTTCATTTGGTCCCGCAACACCGTTGGAAACTTTCTCTTGTACTGATAGGAATGTGATGCATTGGTAATTCTCACACTTGATCAAATTTTCCTTCTTTGGTATCTTGTTCAACTATCCTTCTTTCCGGTCTGTTGGTATATATTCTTCCTCCTAAATCTTCCCCAAGAGAACGTGAAGCATCTTTCCAGTTACCTCTAGGCTTTCCTCTGACAGAGTACTCACTACAACGATTTAACTACTGAAAATCCGTGTCAAAGCAGATATTCCACTCTTCAAATGAATTCAGAAGATGAAAAAGGTTATTCGGGATTACTACCGAATTTCACAATATTCCCTCGAGAACTAAAATTTCAGCCTGTATAATACACACTGTCTTCTCTTACAGCTTTTTCTGCTGCAACTGTCTGGTGCTCTAAATATTTCTGCTTGTCAAATCTGTAGCAAGTCTCCACCCGTTTGTCTATGTCCATGTATTAATCCTGTGCCTTGAATTTCTCCGTTTTTGTTTGGCTGTTGTTGATTTCTGTTTTTTGTCTTTTGTTTCTTGGATCTTGTTCAAGGTATCTGTAGAGATCTCTTTATTAATAATTGCCTGTAGTCTAATAAATAACACCAAGGTTTTATTTCACAGCACGCAATTTGTTATCATGCAAGGATTAGGTTTTAAATGATACCATAAATGTACGTGTAAACTCTCCTTAAGACAAAAATATGTACGCTTTGTAATTGCCCATCTACTAATCGGCTCGGTTTTGTAGTTTCAGAATAATGGTGTTGAAGGAACTTATTCTTTGTCTCCCCTTGGCCACTCCTACTAACTGATCTTTTGTTCTTCCAAGTTTGTGTGATCAATGTGTAGGTTAGTATTTTTCCATAACAAAGAACTGTCTTTTACAATCTATAGGCAAATTTTAATAAAAAATTTTCTGTTTCTCGCGGATGATGTTTAAACCATGCACTTCTGCGTTATTGATGTAAGCTGTCTATGTTTATTTCGTTTATAATAGCACTTCAATTTTCGAACCACTGATGATATTTCAAAGGGAAGCTTGTAATTATTCAACCTACAAATAATATCACTAGCTTTATTTATCTTATAAGGTGAGTCAAAGATAATGGATGCCTTTGTTGCAGTTGGAACATTAAAAACAATGCTCTCGAGAGTAACACTAACGAAGTTTACGAGTTTCTGGAGATTTCGAGCAAAGAGTCGAACTTGCTTTCTGCATGCGTATTAATGCTCCTCAATTCGTTCATACCAGTACCTATCTTACGGATGAGGAACGAATTGGTTAAATCTACAGACTGTATCAGTTATTTCAAAACCTGGATCGACCCTAATAATAGTCCTCAACAAAATTTCAGTATTACAGAGGCTTAACCGGCTTCCATTAACCCTCACATATGCTGTGAATATAATGTTTAGCTGTGTACCAGCAGGCAGATATATGGCTCCACAGTTCATTCAATTCTGTTATATGGCTTTTATATATAGTTATCAACAGTAAGACGTCTACATACACCACGAGTATTCAGTCACAAGTCTAGCAATAGAACCACCAGGTAAATTATCTTAAGTGCAAAGTTTTAGACAAATAGACTGTAAATTAACTAAAAGTCCAGAACCTCACTTCCTTAGTTCAGGCAACTAAGTCATAACTAACTTTCGAATAAAGTGTAAACAGCGTCACTATTAGATGAGCTGATCAGATTACGAATCCACATACTAAGGTGGGACATGTCAGTCGCATCATACATAAAAATTCGCCACCTACTCCGATCCATAATATTGGCTTAAGTGGGACTATTATTAAAGAAAACCCCGTACTTGTGTTAGCACGTGGTCACATATAGTTTTCCACGATTATTTAATTTAATTTAATTTTAACACATAGATATTGGTACAAGGAGGTACCAAATACATATGCACCACACAGATCCCACTTGATATGTGTAAGGGCTGCGATACTGCCCGGATGTCCAGACCGAAGCAGGTTTTTCCAAGATTATGGTAGTTGGTAACTCTATTTATCATAGTTCATACTTCAATTGTTTGCCGCATTTCCGAGTCCATGCTCCTCATTTCGATTTCCTCTCACTGTGCTGATATACAGTGTGGAATCGTGGACCTATGTACCTTTCTAAGGTGTCGAGTTGGAGTCAAGCAAGAGCTTCAGTCATCCTAATGGGTTTTGTTACGTTTCCCTTTATCTACAATTTCCAACTTGGTTCATAATAAACAGCAAGCATAAATTTAGATTGAGAGTGTACGAAAGTACGAACAAAACCGTTTGTATAAGAAAGGGAGTGCTAACGTCCAACATATATATTATTGGTTGCGATAAAAATGTCTTAATATTTTCTAAATGTCAACGAGAACTGGTTGATTAAAAGACCATTCTCTCACTAAAAACATGAGGTCCATTAGTTGAAAGTTGATCTTCCTAACATGTTACACGTAAGAAGTAAGATCCGTCACATTGTGAAATTAGTATGTATTATTTGGAAAAATAAACAGTGAGAATTACTTAATAACATCTGAAATTCGCGGGAAGACACATAATATTCGCTATATGAAAGTTATTTATATTACATCCATGAAAAACTGGATCTATCAGTCTGTTCGTTGGTGAATGATTCCATTCGCTTAGAGCAGTCTTCAAATGTTTTTTCCCAAAAGTAGGAAAGTGATTTGTCTATGTCCAGTTTTTCGTTTCTTATACTGGTATTAAGAAGGAGGTTTCTACTTGTAAATTAATGTCAAAGTTATGGTAGTTATTGACACTTGACAAATTGTCAGTTATTCACTAGTTTAGTGGTTTAACAGAGGCTTTTTTAATGTTATTAACGTATTGCAGATCTTTCGTAAATATAGTCTCATGTTACAGGCCCCCACTAACCACGATGTCTATTTTGTCCAGTAAAAGTGAATACATTCACTTTTCTAATTACTTTGTTAATTCTTTAACATCCGTTCGAGATGAAGAACTTGTTTGTCTTACCATATTTGGATTGTAAATGCTTTTTAAACTACCATATATCTGTGGTTGGAGTAAAAATTATTTTTAATGGTAATAATTGTATTAGTAGCCTGATATTCATTCTTCGATAACTTTATAACATTCCTCTATGATTGGTTAATAAAATAGTATATTTTTATGTATTATCTGATTGACTTTGACTGAAACATTTCTACCTATCAAATGTGTTGTCAAATTTATGTCTAGCCACATACTAAAAACATTATTAGAATGTAGAAAGAAAATTTTCATTTTATCTAACAGTTTTATTTAAAAAAACCTAATGATTATCGAAGTTCACATAATTCCTGTCTCATGTTTGTTAGCTTACATCCTATATTCTTGCGTCATTCTCATCATCTGTTTCGTTTTTCTCAGCTTATGGATTTTACTCAAAACTTTCTGCTATGTATCTATCTTTCTTAGAAAGGGATTTGTTTTATCGTCTTCTAATTGATAGGAAATTTGACTAGTTTTAAAAAATTTCAATGACTCTATTAAATAAAACACTACTGGTGTTTTAAATTGAGATTTTATTTTAGTTGCAAATCACCGATGTTGTGTTGTCATATCAAGTGGTTTTATCTTTCTGAATTATTTCTTTTTAGTTGTTTAAATGTCAATTGTGTTTTTGGTGCATACATGCACACTTTCAATGAACTATATAATTGAAAATGATCTTGTGTACAACGAATATCTGCTAATGGCATATGAAACATGTATTAATCCATCACTATTTAGTACATAGTTTAAAAAATATATAAAACATTTTGTACAGTAAACTATTATAATACTCGAGTGATTTACCTGTATGCTTCTTATTGTTAATTTATCCAGTTCATCATCGTTTCTTTCTCAAATCACGGTGTATAACTATTTTTCCCATTGTTTACTATCAACAATTCGAAGATTACGTCTGTTGAACACTAAATATCAATCTATAGCATTCACGTTATATTTTACTGTTGAAATTATTTTCTTTAAATTATTATTTTTACTAATTTCGGTAAGTCATATATTTATTATTTTAATCATAAGTAGTAGTAGTATTTTTTCTATGACATTTTATAATGTACTTGTTAATAATCAATAATTGTAAGTGGAAAAAATCCGTTTCTCCGTAGAACTGACCATTTGAAAGCGAAATAAGTGAAAAAAGAAAAATTAAACACAGGAGCTATCTGCTTGTAATAGTAAACGATATTGGTGAAATATCAAAGTGTTTCATGTTAAAAATCCTGGTTATTAAATTTTGACTTATCTGAATAATGTGGCATGGTCATAATGGTGATAATAATAATATAGCTTTAGGATGATAACAAAATTTGAGCCGCTTTACAGACATAATCAGGTTGATACAGAAGGCGAGAAAACATTAACGTAATTAAAGTTGCACAATTACAATGTATTATATGTTTTGGAATGTTAGATGCCACATTTTTGTCTTAGAAAATAAACAGTTCAATCACTAAAGTTCAATTTGGTTTTTTCCGTACTGCTTTCGTGATCACTATAAAATGGGGTCCATTCTTGCTGTTTGGGGCTCATTTAAATTTCACATTGATCTAAAAAGGAAAATCAGAAGTTTTTCATTTCATTTCTTGTTAGATTATATACTGTATTTTGTAGAGAACAATAAATATGTAGTAAAATCGATACCAACTTCCATTTTGACTGTAGTAACCTACAGTCTGAAGAAGCATATGCTTCCTAGTCAAAGTTCATTTTCACCATGTATACAAAAGCACATTTTTAGCAGTTTCTAAAGGATGATAGAAAAGCAGCCAATATTTCAACTCGTAAGCATTAATGAACCTTGATCATTCAACTAAGCTACATACTGTCTTAAGGATAGTGTATAAAACTTGTCCTACTATTTTATAATTTCCTAATTCCTAGCTAGTTAAAACAGCAATAGCTACGAGTGTTCTTGAGGAAAAATCTGACCTCTGTGTACTGACAAAATATGTCCTGTTTTATATCGGCCTTTATATTATTTTAATTTTGTATACCCTTTTCCTCAGTCAATTTTCGTATTCGTTTGATGTTTTTATTTTGATCCTTAACATCTTGATTTTTTTGATAAAACAGAAATATTTATTTTGATTAGTTTGTCCTATCCACAGTATGATGGTTTCTTACTTCTACACCCTCCTTAAATACGTATATCTCGTAGATATTATCCAGCCCTTATTATTATAATTTGCATTACGCTACTCAACGTCACTACCTTAATTGCTGGATTATCATGATTATTCTCTGCTTACACTTCCTCATAGAACCAACATTTCGAATCTCTCTCTCTCTCCCTATATATATATATATATATATATATATATATATATATATATATATATGTAAAAAAAATCCTGACCTAATTTTGGTTGGATTTTCTAGGTTTCATTAATGCACTTACAGTTTACAAACAATGTTATTTCGTGCAATAGTATTAACAAATACTAGAAAAAATAAATTATTCTTTTCTCTATGGAAAAATAACTCGGAATGCATATCGTGATAGAAAAAAATATGGTGATTGACATTCATCGGTATGATACAAAATCGTCATTCTTGTGGGCTGTCGTCCCAATTTCAAATTCTTACTGTCATTTCTAACTAGTGATTGAATTGTAAGTGGCTACGACAATGGATGATGATGATGACCAGTCAATTTTCCAAAGGGTTAGTGATTAGTTGATTGATTATGAGGGTGTGTTTATTTTTTCTGGATAGATTTTTTTTACTATTTTGTAATTTTGTATCGATCTGGTGAGTACATTTTATTGATATTGTTGTTAATTATTACTACGGTTGAGTTTAAGATTCTAATTAATTTAAGAGTTTTGTTTGTAATAAAGTACCGTACTATGAAAGTTTACTTAGATGTTTAGAGCAACCTATAACACTTATTTCAGATTTAAACTTCCAACTCTAATTCTTAAACAGAGTTATAGTTTTTAGGTTTGGTCAATTCGTCGCTGGTGTTTGACAGACTCTTCACTTTACTAGTAGAACTTAGAAAATTCTATGTTTTATTGGGACAGTAATTAGTAATGATTCCACCATCCAAATATTTGATTTGTGACGTTCGTAACTTGGGGATTATTAAAATAAGATAATACAACTCTCTGTAGTCTTCATCAGTTTTCAACCGTTATTCATTTTACCAACGAAATGATGTCTACTCACATGATATTCATTTGATCGTAATTACCGAAAATCAAATTCACATAGCATGTCACAAATGCGATATGGTAAAGTTTATCATGAAGTTTCTTCAAAAACTCACCAAGTATTCTGATCCATTATCTATTCACCTGATACTGAAGCACAGAGACTTAAGTCATAACTCTAAAGACGAAATCTCACAAATAATGGCATAAGTTGATGCACAGTTACGGTATTTTAGTATGTATCATACAATAATTATAATTACTAAAAATAGATATTAAATTCAGTAAAATCGTGAAGGTGTTTTGTGAGTTGTGCATGAATTTCATTTAAAATGCTCCCGTGAGAAATAATAATGATAGTAATCAGTCCTTATTGATTCCCGACTTATAATTGTGTAGTAACAGTTTTTTGCCAAGTACACGTCTGTTAATTCAATTAGAACTACACTATTTGTCGCATAACGATACTACAAGGTTACCCAAAACGACGTTGGCGAAATCTGGGTTTTAAACACCAACCCATTGGTTAAAAAAAGTGGTGTTTTATCTGTTAAACGATTGCTTTAAATTTATGGTAATGGAATGTCTTTATTGTCCAGACTTCGAATCTTTAGATTGATCAATTTTTTAATCTAAATTGAAATATTTATGATGAATTCTAACTTGATCTCGAAAAATTTCCCCATTCAGAGCTTCATTATCGAATAAAGAATAACTCGATCAAGAATTTCATTTACTTGGAAATAATACCACTTAGAAATGTTCTCTTCATAAATCATTCACTATAAAAATATGCATACATTTGAATAAAAAAGATTTCAGGAAAAGAAATCGAAATTATCAGTAATATGGTCATAATTTTCATTTACTTTGTTCATTTCCTACTGTTAGTTTCATAAAATATATTTACATAAAGTTTCAGTGTGTAAGCTGATTAAGTATATCTATTTCCACCTTAATAGATTTTACTTTATTTTATGTGTTATTTATTACATTCATATACTTTCCATAACCATTTTACCTATCATGTGTTGTTTATTCGTTTTTCTTTATTCCAATATTTTTTAACCATTTCACAATTTCGTCTGAAATTTGAAAATTGTCCACTCTGCTTTCTCTATTAATAATTACAGTTTCTTAACATAAACACATCATAATCTCAACTGTGTAATTTGTTTACAGTAGGATTTAATACATGTGATTTTAGTTTGGGAATTTTTCCCAGATTAAATGTTGACCCATTTACAAGATTATCGTCATTTAAACAAAAGATGTTTTATTGTGTTTATTATGTTTTTTCTTCGAAGGTATATTGAGATTTCTCAAATCATTTCTAACTTATTGAAATAAGTTTATTACTGCTTCATATAACTTAAGCTCTATTAAAAAGCTAAGTATGTGAATATCTGCGTTTAGAGAAACGTATATATTGGGCATATAATGTTCTTAAGTGAACTGTACGATGTCTCCAAATGTCCGGCTGAGAGTGGGGACAGTCAGCTATCCTTCTGGAACTGCTCTCACATGGCCACGCGTATACAGCCACTGCCAGGGAAGTCCTACTCACTGCCTTCTCGTGGCGGGTGTGTTGTTTACGAAATTGAGAAGACGAAAGTCGAATGTCCGGCGCTTTAACCGGGTTGGTGGATACAGAGGATCTACATAGGTGTGCTGGGAAACCCTGATTTCAAACCAATGGTAAACATGGGCTCCGGCATCCTAAGGTAACAAATGACGCATGAACTTATTTTCGGTCACCGGCTACTATGGGACTGCATCTCCTTACGTTGCTCCACTGCCTTGTGGATTAGACCTCTAGATCGAATGCTCAGGGTGTGGCCCCCTAAGAAAACCACCTGTCGCGGTCTAGGCACCCGGACGATATCCCAGCCCTCACATAAATCGAATGATTTATGTGGTATATATATATTTGGTGTCTCCTTGTACCGATGTTTATGTGTTTAAATTAATAAAAATAAATGGAAATGTACTACAGTTTATTTCACATGTAACTCTCTTTGAGTGTTATCGAGTATATGATGTGACTAAAAACAGCCATAATAATGTATTTTTAAAGACTAGATTATATTTGATCGCATTTCACATTATATCCCGTTGATTGAATGATTAGGTTCAATTGTATGTTTATCATTAGTTGACTTCAACTTTAATTGTTTGCTTGATTTCTACACAGGTATTCCGGTGTATCTATCAGAAACGATATCATGATTCTTCTGGGCAAAAGGAATCTGAACTTACAGTGGATGCAGAAAAAATAATACATGTAGACAAATCTTCTACGATACAAAAAAATTATGCTTCATTAACTAATGCTGAAAATTTAGACAACCTTACCAATAATAAAACTTCGCTGCTTGGACTTTTAAAATTTTGCGGCATTTCTACTGATTGTTGCCCAATACTTCAATTGCATACAAAAACTCCTGACAATACTATTCGGTTGAATTCACCTAGTAAACAATATGGTACAAACTCATTGGATGGTACTGCTGATTCAATTCAAGAACCGAAGAATTTGGAATCTGTTATAAAAAAGTCTCCCGTATCACTTTCTCCATCAATCGCTAATCGTCGACATCTGACACCTCCTCCACGTTTAGTTACTTCTTCGTTCATGGCAACCAGTCCACCAGTTGAAACTCAGTTGTATCATATTCAACCTAAAGAATATGTATTCAATCAAGCATGTAAACCAATACCTAGTTCACTTATGTTACAGAATAATAGTTTGGGTACATTCACACTTACTCCAACACAACTTTTGCATAATCCACTGATATTAAATACATCAGCTGATGTTTTACATTCTCATTGTACGCCGTGCGAATCACAATCTGCACCATGTAGTCAAACTTTAATTACAACACAACCGTTACCTTTATTAAATTTACCCTATAGTCATGTTGCCTGTCCCAATTCAGATACAGTTACTCAGGAATTAAATCAGTCGTCATGTACTAACACTACTAATTGTACTGGTAGTAGTACGCAAGTCCCGAAAACCTATCCAGGCATTGGATTCACTGCGAGTCGTCGAGCGCGATCCAAGGGTCTTTTGGAAAGGTAAATAGGTTTTGTTAAACGTTATCAGTATACGAGACGTTTTTGTGATTGTTATTCCCATTGACGGACCTTATTCCACCTACATTGAGTTGAGAAGTCAGCTACTGTTATTAGTCATTACACAGTAATGTTGATATAAACCTAGGAACTATTCAGTTACAGTTCAATAAACAAATTGAAAATACTTTTGCTAGTTGCAAAATGTTGTTTTCTTTAGTTCATGTAGTTGGAAGCCAACCAGTTAAATGTTTAATAAAAATACATCACTATGGTAGTTACTTTATAGGATATAATATTTATGGATGAGGCTGTAAATCTCCGACGATTCAGGCGGCTGGGACATGTGTTATAGATTCTCTACCAAGATCTTCGTCGACGAACAATGCTGAGTGGGGCTCATTTAAGCCTATTTTTGGATATATGTCATATCTCACTCAATCCTCTGTTTCATAACCTGTTGGAAAACACTGTTTCTATAAGTGCCATTTTACAAGCTTATCAGGCAGTTACAAATTATGGACTGTGGGTAAGGCATCGATGCAGTACTTTAATTGACCATAGTATAAAGTATAGTTTGCCAACTAGAGTATAAGCATTAGGAAGGGTATAACGTAGAATAGTTGTTTATTAAAGCGGGTGGAAAAGTATAGAAGTATATGGGTTGTAGATAAGGTAACATGTAGAGAAATAATATTAATTGCCAGTCAACATAGTGTGCAGAAGAGTAAAAATCTAATAAGCAATAAACAAGAAGAGACTCACACTAACTTGGTGTATATGTTATTTTGTGTAGTCCCAAGCAGTTGAAGGGTAACTGGCTCCATAGATGCAGGTCGACTGGTAGTAGGCAGTCGATTGTGCAGTTCTCTTGGCTTTTTAGGGTGGTAATGAGTGTCCCTTAGCGACCGAGTTCAGTTGAACATTATCGATAGGTCCAGTGAGTTACCTGTCTACTTTAAGTTAAGAAATAGAGTGGAAAAAGTAACTAAAACAACTGCAAAGTAGGAATAATAAGGCAATCTGAACTTGAAGTCAATTTTGGTTTAGACATGTAGAGAGCCTATGATGTCTGAGTGGGGCACAGATGTGTTCGTACGTACTAGATCATTGAAAACACATCTGCGCCTCACTCAGACACAATAGGCTCTCCACATGTCCAGACCGAATTGAACCAAATTGCCCTTCTACTAATAGGCTCGGCGTGATACTCTCTGCTGTGACATGTTTTACATAACCACTGTTGTCTTGTGGAACACAAATTTAATCGAAGTATTCTCTTCCCAAATACAAAGTTGTTCCATAAACAATGCTGCTGTATACATTCCAATATGTTTTTTGATATGTGGTCGCATGTAGAATTATAGTCTACTATGACATTTATACTGCTCTAATTAAAGATCATCCCAAAATTGTACATTTGTCATGATGTAATAACTTATCTATAAGATTTTACGTGTATTTCATATCACTATCTACCCTAACTCATTCGTATTGTAACGACCATCAATTTGTGATGAAAAACACATTTAGGCTGGAGGTGGAATAATATATTTAATACACATGAAAGACTGTTACATAATTCGGACCACGCCTGCAAGCCCAAGCCACGCTATTCGACCAACTCGAACTAATTGAATTAATTCTTCCCGTCCTACCCGTCGTTGGTTTTCCCTCTACGTTAAATGTTGAATATAAATTTTCCCAGTTGTCTCATATTTAACCTTGAGGATTGTGTAGTCACTACACGTATACCTAGCATAACTGTTTTGCAATTTAGTGATCATATCATTTTTATAGACCAAAGCAGTGTAGGTGGCTTTGAGTTGTTTATTTAGACGCTATTACAACGACCGAAATGCCAACATTCGGTTTGAACACACAATTAACGACCAACGTTTATTTAATTTGACCAGACTACGTTTTTCTCTATGGCTTATCAAACGATTTCACGTGATTTGTATTTAATAACATTAAAACATCAACTCTGTGTTCCAGTTAGAATGTTCTAATTTAATAAAAAGAATGGATTATATCAAAATTACAGAATACATCAGGCGGTACAGTTTGCGCAATACAGTGACTAGTTTCCCTAATACAAAATAATGTGCTAAACCACAAGAGGAATAGTTAATAAACAAGGGTTTGATAGCTGATAATCAATAAATAAGTCCCCGACAAAATGAGGTCAGATGTCTATCTGCAAGGATTCCGGCAACCTTTCAAAGTAGACAGGCAGGGGTTAGTGCTCATAAACTAATCAACATCGTTAATTTGAGGTTAGTAAAACACGACTCTATTGTCAGTATTCGGAAACATAAAACCGTAGATTAACTAGTGAGATGTGGATCTTTAACCAGGACAAAATAAAAAAGCCCAACAACGAAGACTGAATATCATAAATTGTGGTTAACAAGAGATCCGAAAAAATGTTAAAATGCAAAATAGACAGAAAAAACGAATAAACAGAATTGCTGTCTAATGAAATGCTGTGAGGGGATTTTTATCGTTTTCTTTCCGTTACAGCTATATCATATTGTCAGATATGGGATAGGATGTCATGTAAACGCATATAATCTGAAGCTGCTGCATGAGTTGTTGGAATATGTAACTTTCAGATTGTTTTTATATATGTGCTATAATATTACTGTTATTATCAGACAGCTTATATGCACATAAGCGTTGAGAAGGAACCATTTAAGGCTTCTTCAGAAATGCATTAGTACACAAGTTTCAATAATGTTAGCATAAAACTCGCCATATTTAAACATGTTCTTCAGAATGTGGAAGAATATTGAGTCAACTTTAAAGAAAAGAAGGGGAAATGAGAAAAAGATACGTGAAATATGTAAATAGCTCATTAAGCGTGTTTATGATAAAAGAATATGGATAAGCGACGATGTATTACCAAGTGAATAAAAATAAATAAACAAGAAAATAAATCACTAACACACACTTCAACAAAACTTTTGACGAAGTTCCCCACAGCCGGTTGTTATATGAATGAATAAATGTCGGGATTGAAGAAAATTTCTTGATGTGGAAAAAAGACTTCTTAGTTGGGCGCCAACAAAGAGTATGGGTGAACCCCAAGTTGTCTAGCTGGGAAACTGTGCTTAGAAGAGTTCATCAGGATACAGTTTGGCGGCCAGTGTTATTCCTCTTGTATGTAAATGACATTCTTCGTATCCAATCATCATTGGTCGTGCTTTATGCTGACAATGCCAAGATATGTAGAGCAATGAGTAGTAAAGGTGATAGCTTAGAACCTCAAAATAACTTAGAGCAATTATCCAAATGTTCAAAAGCTTGACAGTTGCCGATAAATATTTCCAAGTACATTGTGATACATATTAGCCATCAAGGTACAGATACATACATAATGAATTACATTGAGTTACCTGTTGTCCAGATACTCAATGACTCAGGATCCATCGTTAGCCAAGACCTAAAAACTACTGCAGACTGCCGTGCGATAGCCGCCAAAAGTTTGGGAACCCTACGGTCAATACCTAGGGCCATTAACCATGTAGAAGCTGAAACTCTTTTGACTTTGCATACAGTATTCGTGCAACCTAGACTTGAGCACTGCATACAAGCGGCTAACTCCTGTTTAAAAAGAGACAGTGAGCATCTAGAGAGTGTTCAGGGAACCGATGCTAAGCTGATTCCCGGAATAGCGAGGCTCCTGTATGATGCTTCACTGGTTTAACTAAACCTACTTCCTTTGTCATATCGAAGAATCAGAGGAGACTTGACTACAGTCTTAAAATCATTTGGTGATAAAGCTGCATCTGATATGCTCTCATATTTCTTGTTTTCCAAAACAGAAAATTTACGAGGACAGTGCAAAAACGTTCGCAAACCCAGGACAAATTTCCTGTCAGCCGACTATCGACTTTCCCAGTGTAATTCATGGCCTCAATACACTAATAAGGTTCCATCTGTCGACTCTTTCAAAAAAATTTGAAGCAGCTGAGAGACCATCATTTCCAGGACTAACACAGGCCAACAAACATCCTGTCCTTTCCAAACTGAACTCTCTACCAGAATAGGTAATATCGGCAATTTCTGTTGGTAAATTCAAATCGAGATTAGGTCTTCACAGTACTACAAAAATCAAGGATTAATATAGATCGATTGACCTCTCATTCGTATTGTTTTCTATTAGTAATAAGGAACGACCAACGATTCATTATGATTGTGGTGGCTCGCTGATGGACCCTGTAGTCGTTAAGAAAGGTACTGTTTTAAGGCTATCTCAGCATCTCAAACCTGATAAGTCTAGTGGTCCTGATAACATTCATCTTAGGATTATGAAAGCCATATCAGATGTAATTGCTGAACCATTAGCGATACTGTTTGACATGTCTCTGAGGCAGTTCAGACTGCTCAGAGACTGGAAAGACGCTATAATAAGTCCGGTGTATAAGGCTGTGAGTAGGCATTTAGTTAGCTTAACTGGTGCAGTTGTAAAACTGATGGATAAGATCATTTCGATATCTGTCATAAACTATGTTGAAGGGCATGATCTTTTCTCCAGGGAACAACATGGTTTTCATTATTGACAAATCTTGTCATTGCAAGTGAAGATTGGGCTGCTGCAAAAGATCGGAATATTCCTGTGAATGTGATCTTCATAGATCTAAGTAAGGTTTTTGATAAGGTCTCTCATTCTGGTCTTAAATTCAAACTAGAACGCTTCGGAATCCATTATACAGTCGTAGATTTGATAAGTAACTTCCTCCATGACAGGAGAGAAAGGGTAAGAGTTAATGGGGCTCTTTCCTCGTGGGTACCTGTAAAAAGTGGAGTTACCCAAGGTACAGTCCTCGGTCCTCTTCTCTTTTTACTTTATGTAAATGAATTACCAACTGTAGCAAAATCATCCGTTCTACTATTCGCTGACGACATAGAAATTTGGAGACCCATACACAGTATGTCGGATAGAATAGTATTACAGAATGATCTTAGCTCATTGGTGGCATGGTTAGACAGGTGGTCACTTGAAGTAAATCCTAATAAGAGTGTGGTGATGCAATTAAATAACAATGATGAATCGTATCACTATACAATAAGTGGATTCGTACTACCCAAAGTAGGAAACTATAAATATTAGGGAGTCATATTATGTAGTGATCTCGAAACCACTAGTCACTGTAAGGCTGCTGCTGCGAAAAGCTATAGGGTATTATGGTCTATTCGTAGGTCTTTTCAGTATTTAGATGATGAAATGTTTAGATTACTATACCCGATTTATGTGCGACCACATTTAGAATATGGAATTCAAGCAGCAAGTCCTTGTTTCAAGTATGAAGCAGATATGCTAGAGCAAGTCCAACGACGAGGTAATAAGATGGACTATATTATGAAGACAGACTGAGACACATTAACTTATTTCCGTCATCTCACCGTAGAATACGGGGTGATCTAATATTGGCTTATCGTATACTGAACGATGACCTTGGTATTAACACGTCTTATCTTTTTCCTCCTTCTAAGACTGATCATTTGAGAGGACATTCGAAGAAATTTCAAAAACTGAGATCAAATCGTTTACGTCTGGAGTTTCGTTTCTCGCACCGAGTAGTGAATTACTGGAATTCTCTACTAGAACACGTAATATCAGAACCTTCTGTTGATATATTCAAAACGAGATGGGACCCACATAGTATTATAAACTGCAAGGATTAATATAGGTCGATAGACCTCCTATCCTTATTACTGAAGACTGACTGATGTTGTACATCGAGGTTTAGGGGCGGTCTAGTCAAATATTGTATCACCATGTCTTTTACATCACGCCTCCTTTACCAACATATAGCGAGTGATCAACCTTGGTCAGCCATCTGTTTTAGTTCTGTTAGTTCTATTTTTCGTGAATGATAGTTTGCAGGCGAGGTATCGGTATTATTCCAAGGGTTTTATACAAAGTCTCATCGATAAAGTTAAAGAAGAATCAAGTAAAGACACAGAGTTAAAAGTAAACTAAATACCTCTGGATTATCTTTGATCAAGGAAAATATCAGAAAGTTTCGAGAAGAAACAGCGAAATTGGAACAAACAAAGGAATTGCGCTCTGTCCGGGAATTTTATGTCAGTTTATGTAATTCTCGAATCCCTCATACTTTAGAAAAAGATAGAGAAAGAAATGCCAGCCGATACTGTAGGAAAAGTACGAGACACTTTCCAGTCTGTTAAAAGCAAAATCCGTAATGATGCTCAACAACTTGCTCAAAACGAAACATTGAGAAAGGGTGTTGAAAATTTATCAAAAGCCAGTGAGCATGTTAAAGATGCCACTAAATCACTTGGTGAAACAGAATTCATCAAGGCCGCTATAAAAGTAACTTACATTGCTTAGAGTTATATTGATAGGGTGTTGAAGTAGTTGGGAAGGAGTTAGAATCAGAAAGGTTTCAAATGTATCAAGCTCCAAGTAAGTCAAATTCGATAGTGCTTATTAGTGAATTTCTAGGTATTTTAAAAACAAGGAGTGAGATCTCTGGAAAAGGTGAAGAACGAGCAATACAACCAGATAGGTGAGCTTTACGTCATTATTGTGAGTCATACTGAAAAAATGTCAGGATTTAACTGTTAGCTTGTTTTCACTGTATCAATTATTTCTTGACACGAGAGATCTTAATTTTAAAGTTTTTGCCAAACAATTTGTATAATCAAAGCGGCGTTCGTTTTTCAACGAGATATTTGTTTAGTAAGTCTTTATTTATTTATTTTAACACATAAGTATAGGTACAGGGAGGCACCAAATACATATGCGCCACACAAATCTCAATTTATTTGTGTGAGGGCTGTGATACTGCCCAGGTGCCCAAACCGAAGCAGGTGGTTTTCTTAGGGGGCCACACCCCGAGCCTTTGACCTGAACGTCTGATCCACAAGGCAGTGGAGCATCGTAAGGAGATGCAGTCCCATGGTAGCCGGTGACCAACGATTGGTTCATACGCCATTTGTTCCCGCAGGATACTGGAGCCCATGTGCACCATTGGTCTGAGATCCGGTTAAGGCGCCGGACATTCGCTTTCCGTCCTCTCATTTTCGTAAACAACACCCCCGCCACGAGAAGGCAGTGAGTAGGACTTCCCTGGCAGAGGCTATATAAGTAAGTAAGTCTGGTCAAATGCGCATGTGTAGACACTTATGTATGAAGATCTTTACGATGTTTATATGAAATGTTACTAGCTACATAAAACTTGTGCATTTTCAAAGAGTGACGTCTAACTGAATACTAGATTCTCGGTATCTTTTTCTGACCATGAAAATCAAAATCATTTCACAACGTGTCAAATGTGTTTACAATCAGTTGAGACCGATTTCCGGACCACTTTTGAGCGATACTAGTATCCGTGATAAACATCAACCACTTAATATAATCGGGATAGGGTCATAAATTAGTGTGGGAAATTGAGACTAGAAGTTGGTCAGTCAGTCAGTAACAATGTGGAACTTCGTACGTACGTACATCAGTTCGAGTTGCCATATCACATTAGCACAGATATTCAGTTATCGATTCAAATCCCGTAGTGGTAGAGGTAGTGAAAGTATAAGTAGTGATAGGGAACATTAAGGTTTCATGATGTTATTAGAGGAGTATAGTCCAGTGGAATAGATTTGGAAAGAAAATAAAGGACATGAAGAATTCGGAGGATTAGAGTTTGAGAGAACACAAAGAGTGGATGCACCTGCGCCATTGCAAACGACTTTGAGCCATGTCATTCAAGGTCTCTAACCATCGGTTGCTATCATCTCGCGGACCCCAACCAAGTAGTCTACACCTACCAACATGGCTCAGTCCACTTGTCAGTGACTTCATGGATTTGTGTCATGTTTTGGTCTGGCCGCCCCTAGCTTTCTTCCAACCTATTCCAACACCATAAAACATCGCACGTCGGGGCAGTCGGTGGTCTGGCATGCGCAACACATGTCCCAGCCATCTCAACTGATTAAGTTTTACTACTTTATCAATTGATTTGCCATCATTACCTAGTACCCGTTTCCTAACAGCTGAGTTAATTACTCGGTGGTCCCAGGATATACGAGCAACGTTTCGAAGACATCTATGATCGAATACTAGTAACCTACGACTATCCTCTACTCTTACTGGCCATGTTTCACTGCCATAAAGTAGGACGGAACGAACTGCTGTGCAGTAAACTCGTCCTTTGGTTGATAGACGGATATCTCGCCTACGCCACAAATGACGCAAGTTGGCAAAAGCTAGTCGAGCCTTTTGTATCCGTGCTGAGATTTCGTCACATACCAGACCACAAGGGCTGATGAGACTTCCAAGATAAGTGAAGCGGTCGACACACTCAACTACTTCACTCCCTATCACTAGTTCGGGTGCCGATGCAACCCAATCCTGAAGCAACATTTTGCATTTCGAGGGAGAGAATCGCATGCCGAACATGCCTCCATTGTTGCTTACGATGGTCAGAAGACTCTGCATTCTGTCAGCGTCTTCACCAAATAGAACTATGTCATCGGCATATTCTAAGTTAACAAGTGGATCTCCCGTTAGAAGTTCAACTCCTGGCAATTTAGATGAGGAAAGTGTCATCTCTAAAAGAACGTCAACGACAAAGTTAAACAAGAATGGAGAGAGTGGACAGCCCTGACGAACACCACTTGAGGTAATCAGTTCTGATGACAGTTCTCCATAAGCTCTCACTCGACCAGTTGTGTTCGAGTAGAGAGCCTTTATAAGGTTAATGTACTTCTTTGGTACTCCTTTCAGTGACAAACACTGCCATAGAACCTCACGATCAACATAGTCAATTGCCGCCTTAAGGTCGAGAAATACTACCATTGTGTGGCGTCTGAATGTGTGTCTATGTTCTAGGACCTGACGTAGTGTGAATATCTGATCTATACAACCACGTCCAGGTCGTAAACCAGCCTGGTTTTCTCTAGTCTGCTCTTCACGAGCTTTGGTTAGACGTCGAAGTATTATTTAAGCTAATATTTTAGACACTATATTAGTCAAACTAATTCCTCTGTGATTGTCACAAGAGGACTTTTGTCCTTTCTTACAGACTGGCACAATCAGTGATTGAGACCAGTCAGATGGGATTACGTCCAGTTCCCAGATTCTACCTAACACCTCAGTCAATCTCGCTGCTAATACTGGACCACCACCCTTAAAAATCTCTGGGGTAAACCTGTCAGGGCCTACTGCTCTCCCACCCTTCAGATTTCCTATAGCTTTTTCAACTTCGTAAAGAGTCGGAGGACTTACATTAACTTGCCATTGAGGTAGATTGGAGATCGTGGGAAACCGAAGTGTGGCTGAAGGCCAGTTAAACTGATCCCTAAAGTGTTCTGCCCATCGATCCAATCTCCTGGATTGAGAATGAATAATACGTCCATCTTTCTCTGAGATTGTTGCGCTAACAGTTGGGTTCCTAATACCGGTTTCGTTAACAAGTCTGAACAGTTGCCTGCTGTTACCTATTGCCGCTGCCTTTTCCATCTCTCTTGATTTCGCTACCCACCATTGTTCACGATCATTGCGTAGGCTTCTGGTCAGTTTACGCTTGAGCTGAATCCACTCATCGTTGTGTTCATAGTCAGATGGAATGAGTTTCCGAGCATCTATCAGTGCGGTAGACGCTGTTGAGATCCAGTGTTTCTCCCTAACCTTATGATTTACCGTACTTGCAGACATCACTGCTGTTTCTACAGCTTTTCGGATGTCATTCCACGCTGCCTCGGGGCGGGCATCACTTACATGACTGCCTAACTAATTTTCTAGTTGTTCCTGAAATATCCTCTTAGCTTGACTATCATTGAGTAGGACCCTAAGGGGTTTCCCTGCACCATCTTTCCTACGTCCGATAAGACGTAGACAAATACGCGCTCGCACTAGATCATGATCTGAGTCTAAGCATGTGCACCAGAATGAGCGAGTCTTCTATCGAGCCCTTCCATCGGTGGCTGATAGCAATGTGATCTATTTGGGTCCAGCGTTTGGACGAATTAGGGGGTCGCCATGTCAAATGGTGTTTTTCCTTATGCTTAAAGTTAGTGTTTGCAAGAAACAGGCAGTTATCTGAGCATAGCTGCAACAGATGGTAGCCGTTAGCTGTTGTTTGAGCCGCGACACCATAAGATCCACTCAGGTGTCTTTCCCTTTCGCTTAGTTTACCTACTTGAGCATTAAAGTCACCAGCCACTATTACTACATCTGAACGCCTAGCTTTTCGGAGAAGGTCGGAAAGCTTTCTGTAAAACTCATCTTTTACATTATCTGAGCTGCAGTCAGTGGGAGAGTAGGCAGAGACGACGAAGAGGCAACGACAAGTGTCCCTATCTTTCTAAGTCCTTACTGTTCCGTTTAGTGGGACAGAGCACAAACGACTGTCTACTGGGATCTAGTCTAAGAGAGCTAGTTCCGCCCTATTATTTATTATTTATTTGAACACATAAATATTGGTACAGAGGGGCACCAAATATATATGCGCCACACAAAACAATGATAATTTGAAGAGAAGGAGAAAAGAAAAAAAAAGTAATGAACGTGGGGAATTATAAAAAAAAAAGGGAGAGAGAGAACAATGGTGGGGGAAACGGAAAGGTACAATCAGAAGAGATCTTTCAGTTAAGGAAGATATAGACACTTTTTATGAAGAAAGTAAGAGGTTACAGCACGATCGCCACTGGCTTCTATTCTTAGCCATATCTGATAACGTCTCTAGCCACTGCGTTACACCGTCTCTCGGACCCCAACCAGGGAGTCGTGAAGGACCAACAGAAGCTAGCCCTTTGCAGCTTTCTTTCATACCACGACACCATGTCATATACTGACCACCTCTCCGCTTTTTCCAACCAGTCCCAGAGTCGGCAAATAATGCACGACGTGGAATTCTCTGGGACGACATTCGTAGAACATGTCCAAGCCACCGAAGTCGGTGTTTCAAGATGGTGACACCAATTTCATTATCGTCTCTGTGACCGAACACTCGATGCCGAACCTCTGCATTACTGACATGGTGTTGCCACTGGATGCCAGCAATCCTTCGGAGACAACGATGATCGAACACAGAGAGTCGTCTAACATCCTCAACTCGGAGAGGGCAGGTTTCACAAGCATAGAGCAAAACTGCTCTCACCGTCGCGTTGTAGATCCGACCTTTTACAGCCAGACTAACATCACGAAGGCGCCAAAGGTGGCCCAGATTGGCATAAGCCGCTCTGGCTTTCACTATACGAGCATTGATCTCATCACTCACACCACCACCAGCACTTATGCAGCTACCTAGATACACGAACTTCTCGACTACTTCAATCTGCTCACCATCCAGAGTGAGTACAGGATTAGAATCCTGCCAGTCTTGTAGAAGTACTTTGCACTTCGAAGGTGCAAAGCACATACCATACCTACGGACATTGATTGCCAACTGATTAAGTGCGGATTGCATAGCTTGGGCATTCTCGCACAGTAAGACAATATCATCCGCATACTCAAGGTCGAGAAGTCTTTCTCCAGGCAACAGATCCACACCACCATTACTTACATCCGTCAGAGCTGTTTCCAGAATGTCATCGATGGCAAAGTTGAAGAGGAATGGTGAGATTTGGCAACCCTGTCTAACCCCACTGCTCGAATGGAATAACGGAGAAAGGTGATTGTATGCCCTCACTCTGCCTGAGGTGTTTGTGTATAGGGCTTTTAGGATGTTAATAAACTTCTCAGGCACACCCTTCTTCAATAGACAATCCCAGAGAACAGTTCTGTCCAACGAATCGAAGGCAGCCCTGATATCAAGAAACACTACGATTGTTGGCCTTTGATAAGTATGGCGGTGTTCTAACACTTGGCGGAGGGTGAAGATATGATCAATACATTCTCGACCAGAACGAAAACCAGCCTGCTCCTCGCGAGTCAATCCTTCTCGGGTTTTGAACAACCTACGAATTATAAGGGAAGCCAACAGATTGGACACAATCGGAAGTAGACTTATCCCCCGATAGTTGTTACAGAAACGACGTGAACCCTTTTTGAAGATAGGGACAACTATAGACTCATTCCACGACGTTGATACACTCTCTAGTTCCTAGATCTTTGTAAACAACGTCGTCAGTCCCTTAGTCAGAAAGACACCAACATCTTTAAAAAGAGCCGGAGGTAAGTCGTCTGGGCCCGGTGATTTGTAACGTTTCAAGAGTTGGAGTTCCTTGCGACTTCCGCCTCATTTGGTGGGTCAGTCGTCACCGGCCATGGAGGGTAGGACAGTCTGACCGATGTTGCCGGAGCAGCAGGCTAGTTGAACTGCCCTTCGAAGAATTCTGCCCATCGTCCAAGACGTCGATGGATGTTAGTGATTGGCGTTCCGTCATCCTCGCAGATTGTTTCGCTCACACCAAACTTCTTGCTGCCAGTGGCTCGGATGAGTTGGAAGAGCTTCCGGTAATTACCAGATGCAGCTGCTGCTTCTAACTCACTGGCACGCTCCGACCACCAGGCTTCTCGGTCCTTACGCAAGCTTTGCCCGATTTCATTACGTAACATCCTTCGTCTGTGGTCAAACTCACGGTCACCCGGAGTAGACCGACGGGCTTCAATCAGTTGTAAGGAACCAGAAAAAACCCAGTGCTTGTAAGCGGGACGTTTCGCAAACCCACAACAGACTGTACCCGCCATTTTCATGGCGTCATGCAATTGCAACCAATGCTCATCTATACTTTTCGGTGGAATGGTAGCTAGCCTAGAAGCTAGCTCGGTTCGGTACTTACTAGCAACAGAAGTTGCAGCCAGCTTGCTAACATCAATCCTTTGGTGGCGGTCACTTCGTTGTCCACTGAAAAGTAAGGTAAGATTGGCGCAGACCAGAGCATGATCAGATTCCAGATAGGTACTCCAAAAGGAGCGGCAGTCTTGTACACAACCGCGCCAGCGGTAGCTGATCGCGATGTGATCAATCTGAGTCCAGGCTTGAGATGCAGAAGGGGGACGCCAGGTGGCACATCGGCGATGACTGTGCCGAAAGTTAGTGCTAGCCAGAAACAGGTTGTGGTCTGTGCATAGTTGCAATAGACGTTCCCCGTTATCTGTCCTGCGACCAACGAGTCCCCATCGGCCACCTAAACGACTCTCTTCTGTGCCTAGACGCCCGACCTGAGCATTCAAGTCTCCAGCTAGTACTACAATATCTGTCGAACGCACTTTCTGGAGAAGAACAGTTAGCTGATGGTAGAACTCGTCCTTGATTGCATCCGGGCTGCAATCTGTCGGGGCATAGGCGGAGATGACGAAAAGACATCGTTTCTCACGCCGATTTCTTCTCACTTTGATGGAACTTTCTAATCTAACAGCACATAACCGACTGTTAATGGGGATCCAGTCGACTAGTGCTGCCTCAGCTCTTGCGCTTAGTGCGACACCAACGCCAGCAAGACCAGACGAAGATGCCACAGGGTCCCCGGATAAACGCACATAAAACAAGCTTTTTGAAGTGACAGATGGAGAGCGAACTTGTAGTACTTCACCAGAGTCTTGAATACGGGTCTCGGATAGACAACACACATCAATATTAAGACTTTCCAAAGACATAGCCAGTCCTATCTGTTGTCCGACCTGCATAAGTGTGCGAACGTTGAAGGTAGCCAGTTTGAATGGTGCACGCGGTTTCAGAAAAACTGCTTCAGTACTCATGTTCGGTAGTAACATACAATTTTCAACCAGGCAGTGACTCGGGCACGTTTAGATAAAGCTGAATTTTCACCATAGGTGAGCTGCTGTCTAGGTCGAAACGCATATATAAAGTAGGAATAAGAGAGGGTGAATAAATGACGTGGTAGAGTAATAATAGTAATAATAATAATAATAATAATAATAATGTTAATAATAATAATAACAATAATAGTACGAGTTATTTCAATGTTAATCAGATAGAAAGGAATATTTTCCATAAGCAAATTGTTCATCATAGTTTTAGTGAGTGGGCTGGGATACTGCCCGGGTGCCCAGACCGAAGCAGGTGGTTTTCTTAGGGGGCCACACCCCAGTTCCGCCCTAGGACTCAATGCTATACCTACGCCAGCGAGGCCACGGGAAGCAGCATCAGTGCTTCCAGATACACGAAGCGTAAATCGAGTTGGTTCGTTACTTTGACATGGTGAGGTCAAATGAATGACACTACTCGGATCCTGTGTGCGCTTTTCGGAGACGCAGTACACATCGATGGAGCGAGATTCTAAGGTCTTAGCTAAGGAAGCCTGTTGTCCTATTTGGCACAGTGTTCGGACGTTGAAAGCTCCTACGTGTAGTTTAGAGCGTGGTTTCACGAAAACAGGAATAACGTTCCGCGTACTCAAATCGTTCGCACTAGTGGGGTGAGGTGATAAAGGGACGTAAGAAGGGTTAGTCATGAAAATAAGAGTTATTAAGAGGTTTAGGAAGGATATGAATGTGACCAACTTAGTCTCGTGTGTTGTTACGGGTATGAGGGCTAATGTCACTTCCCGGTTGCCCACACCGTGGAAGGGTTTTTCTTGAGGAACCTGAAAAGGAAATCAGATTAGTGTTGGTCTTAACGACCTAGGTGCGTGACCGCAGAGCACAAGGGACAACTGCTTGAGGCCGGTCGCGCACGGCCTTTTTGTGGGAGGTTTTTAATGTGTTAGCTCCGTACTTCAAGGGGCCTTACCGCCGGAGACGGAAATCCGTGGGGTAAGGTGAGGTGTGACATTTTTAGGGTCAACCTTTTCTAACTCCTTCCTTCCTTGTAAGAAGGCAGCATCGCCGCAGATGCTGGTTGTCCGAGGGAAACACCTTACTGCTGTCACACCTCTGTACAGTCAGAAGTACGACTTCGCCCTCAGAACTTGAGTTTCTGCTTTTAGTCTTACCGTTCTCCAATCGATTTGCCTGGCATGTTAGAACATGCAGGAACATGTGTTCCAGCCAATATAGCTCGGTTAGGTCATCACGATAGGCAAGCCCGACCACCACATCAAGGTAGCAGCTACGGTCGGGACTAGAAGTTGAAGTTATAAGCTAAGATATGGAATTAGAATTAAGGTTTTATCACTAACTAATGTCAGCTACAATGTAATTTAAACATGTATGCATGAGTTCCTCGCCAAAATCCAAAACTCAATGTCAAATCTGGTTAGTCCGTCCACAGGTAACAGATATGAAGAAACAATAGAGCTTGTAAGAGACAATTCAAAGATGTGCAAATGATGTATTTAATGTATGGTTTTTATATTTTACGAAAGGACTGTGACTGAGCAATAAACAATAAATTGTTCTTCCTCACCCGAGTCTTCGTAGTAGCTGGCATCTTGGAAATACCAGAAATATTCCATCCAATTACATCCAAATATCGAAAGTAGTGTTACTTTGTACTCGCCGTTCTTCATTGTTATCCCTTCCAGTCTTTTGGTATTGCCGTTATTACCCAGTCCTTTTTTTCCTGTGGTGTGTTAGAGTAAAGCATGCTATCAGGCTTGTGATAAATATCTTATTGGAACAACAAATATAAGTCCAAAGTATTGTTTTCAGTTATATCTTTAAACTTTAATATACAGTAATATTCATATGCACATGTACAAAATAGTAAACGAAATAAGGCAACTTTCTGGTTAATGATATCAATGAGTCCAATTACATAACCGATCATAAGTAAAATGTGACAAATCGGTAGTGAAATGACAAGTGCTCCTGGATTGATAATAACAATAAAAGTTTGAATAAGTATACCAAAACTTGGTAAAAATAAGCTTATTAAAATAATAAATGAAAATATGTAATAAAAGGTGTGAGGAATCAGCTTAAATACCTATGTAGTGGAGAATTAATTTGGAAAGGGTCAAGAAAAACAATCAAGTAAGAAGCGTAAAAAGTTGGTAAGATAGTTTATCAATTTTTATCCGGTCGAGAAATAAACAATGGGGGCCTTAATTACTCAGGATTGTTTAGTTAACAGTTTATTTTAGTCTAGATAAATCTAGCAGTACCAAAATCAATGCCACTTGTGGCAGATAAAATGGTAATAGCTACCAAATTTTGAACTGTGGAAATTATATGAATTCCGGTCAACCGCCAGCAAAGATATTGATTACAACTAGGGAGGATCTTTAAAGCAAACTTTATATATATATATATATATATATATATATATATATATATATATATATATATATATATATATATATAGTACTGAAATCACCTTTGAAGCCATTATGACTACAATCACTTACCTACATTGTAGTATGATCCATGGTCATATAGTCTTCGAAAGTGGAGGTCTAGTAAAATATTCAACTAATAAGTGTCATCAACTACGTGTTCCCACTAATCTCTTACTGACTAATTCCAAGGACATAGATGGATATGAAAGCACAAATCTAATTTGAACACATTAAATCCTGAAGACTGTTGCTCTGACAGATCCAGATTATATACATAGATTGATCATCTAATTTGTTTGATCATTTCTTAAATTTAGTGAAAGTTCTGGTGTTGTCGTGCATAAAGATTCAAAATGGTTCACTGCATGGCAAGATTTCAAGGAAAATAATCAGTATGTTCAAAGTGAGTGCTATGTTACTTGTCCGTGCTATATTTATTTTTGTTCATTGACATCTTTTTAGCTCAAGAGCTATGTTACTTTGGAAGAGACAATGACCATAAGTTTTGAGGAAGGCATCGAGAAATTATTATCGTCGAAGTGAAAACTAAACATTCAAATCTTTGTCTAAAAATGGTTACCTTGGGTCGTAATAAGAGAAATTATAACAGCTGACTACTCAAAGTGAGTGCATGTTCAGGGTCCTACCGGCCTTGTAAAAACACCTTGCACTTGGGATGTACTTTGTACATCCCATACCTACGGACACTGATTCCCGACCCACCAAGTATGGGTTCCATGACTTAGGTATCACCTCACATTAAGAAAAAATTATCTCACTCAAGTTTGAAAAGTTTTTCTCCGGGCAAAAGATCCGCACCACCATTACATACATCCACCAGAGCTGTTTCTAGAACGTCATCGATCGCAAAGTTGAAGAGGAATGATGAGATTGGACAATCCTGTCTAACCTCACTGCTTGAGTGAAACAAGGAAGATAGGTGGTTGTATACCCTTACTCTGTCTGGGGTGTTCGGATATAAGACCTTCAAGATGTTAATAAACATCCCGGGCACATCGTTTTCCAACAGATAATTTCAGGGAACAATCCTGTCCAACAAATTGAAGGCGGCCCTAATATTAAGAGACATAACTACTGTTGGTCTGCAGTTAAGTATGGCGATGTCCTAACATTTAGTGGAGGGTGTAGATAAGATCAATATAGCTTTCACCAGAATGAAAACCAGCCTGCTCCTCTCGAGTCAATCTCTCATAGGCTATGACCAATCTGTAAATTGTGATGGTAGACAACAACTTGGAGGTAATCGAAAGTAGATTTATCCCGAATGGTTGTTACATAGGCGACGTAGATCCCTTTAAAAGACGATGATAACTATCATTCCAGTCCAGGATGTTGGAACACATTGCAAATCATTTGCAAGCAATCCAGTCAGTCACGTAGCCAGACGTTCGTCATCATCCTCCAAAGGGACGGAATTGAGTCATTTAGATCAGGCTATTAATAACGCTTCAGGGATTGGAGTTCTCTTTGAACGAGTTGTAGTCAACGCAAAGCAACACATGACGGTCTCCGTTATCTGATCTACCACTAACGAGTTCCCACTGTCCATCTAGATGGCTCTCCTCCATACCTAAACGCCTGACCTTCACATTCAAGTCTCTGGCTAGCATTAAAAAATCTGTCAAACATTTTTTTAATCATTCAACTGGTGGTAGAACTTAACCCTGATCGATCCATCAGTATCCTGGAGCCCATGTGCAACATTGGTTTGGAATCTGAGTAATCCAACTCCCCTAAGTGGATTCTCTGTACCCACCGACCTGGTTCGAGGTCCAGACATTTTCTTTCTACCAAATCACTTTCGTAAACAACACTGCCGCCGTGAAAAGTCTAAGTAGGACTTCCTTGGGAGTGGCTATATACGCGCGACTATATGGGGGCATTTCAATAGAGATGACGGACTCCTTCCACCATTGAAAGTACCAGGGCACTTAAAGGCGATATCACAATAATTGATCACCTTTATTAACAGGTTGTTATTTAAGTGTATTTATGTAACCTCGCTCTATTATTTTAGGTACCTCAATTACTAATTTTGATAGTATGATTATATATGAGGTGTATGATGCATTATTAATCAAATTTCTATTTTGCATAATAATACCACTCATTTCATGTAATTTGTTCGCTTGTATATCTAGTGTTTGATAACATGTGAAGCAGATGACTCTATATAATTTTTTCGTAGTGACTTATAAAGACTAGTTGATATTATGCATATTTTGCTGCATAGAGCTGCTATAACATGGCAGATATTAAGCGAAGCTGAACCTTCGGAATTGTACAAATAGAAGCTATCTGTCTGCTGTATTACATTCTACCCTGGTTATTGGGCAAGCAAATGTACGAGATTTGTATTCTGCATCAATAGTTGTTAAGTATTGGTTTTGGCTGTCCTCTCGTTACCTTCGTGTCAATGGTTAGCAGAATGCCATGACTTCTATGTAGCCAACGAAATGATTAATACTCGAACTAGACCATACTACTGTTCCTATAATGAGGGCCTGATCACACAGACTCCAATATAATATACAAAATCTGTTTCTTTTTTGTTGTCACATCAAGAACATCTGAGACAAGTAGCATAGATGATTAAAAACAATCTTATGTTTTAGATAAAATATCTGAGTGGTTTAAATTAATTTTAGGATTTTTCGATCTGAAAGCTCACTATGAAGAGAGTGATCATTTAGTTATTCGGTCACTACGATTTGTAACTGATAAACTATCAAACCTATTCGGTAAGTTATAAACCATATTTATCTTACAAACATGTATTGTAGACATTTAGTACTTAATGAATATGATGTTTAGTGAACTATTTCGACTTGTCGATCACTGTACAATATTTCCACCTTACAATGTACTATTACGTGATACGTTTTTTTAAATTGTCTACCCAACAACTTTTTGTGGTGTTATAAACGATAATATCGAAGTTCTGTAGTCATGATTTACGATCGTTTCCTTTGAGAAAAGACACATCGTTTCAACCAACAAAAAACGTTGTTGTTAACTTAGTTTCAGTATACATGCATGAGTTTACATCTTTTACTTAACTCTGATGAATCTTTTTTAACCAGTGTTCAATCTGAGTTTAAATTTCATGATAATCCACTCAAAATTACTGATCATGAATAGTTACAATCGTCATACTAACTTCTGTTGCTTGTTTAACTCAGATCAGTCCGTCAGTCATCCAAAGTAGAACCCAACATATGTGCATCACCTCAAATTCCCACATCACATTGGCACAGAACAGTAAATCCCTATATATTAGAAATAATAACGTTATTAGTAGTAGTAGAAATAATTAGTTATAGAAAAAGAAAGGAAGGGTATAAGGAAATTTTGGCTTTCAAATTCTAATGGCGTACAAAGTGAACGCACCTGAGCCATTGTGAGGGATTCTGAGTTGTATCATCTAAAGTCTCCGACATTTGGTTGTGATAATTATGCGCACCCTAACCATGTTATATACTCTTATTAACAAGACTCAGTTCAACAGTCAACGCCTTCAAACACTGATGCCACGCATTTGATAAGCCGTCTCTTTTTCAATCTACAACTAACAGCTTCACCCGTCGAAGAAGTCAGTGGTTGAGGATACGTAACTCATGTCTCAATAACTCCATTTGTAGAAGATTTATTACTTCATCAACCGATTCTCTATTTTTACGTAGTACTTCAGTATCGCTCGTTCTGTAGTCACAAAATACACAAGCGATGAGACCAGTTCATTTTTATGCAGTTATATACGCCACAATTAAAAACTAGTTGCATGCCCTAAAGCTACGACAAACACGAGGCAAATGTCAGTATAATTTATTTTTTTTATTTTATTATTATAAGCTTTATTCAACATTATATTTGTGGTACACTATTGAATTCTCAGCATAAAGTATTTCAACAAGTTTCCTTTTCTTATATCTTGATCGATCCTGACGATAAATGTTGAGTGATGGCCAGTTAGATGCTAGGAGTTCGATAATCGACATCTGAATAATGTTCATTCGTTTCAATGCATATTGCAAACCACCATGATGTCGCTGGTTGTACCTTTTTGTAATCCGTACAGCGAAAGGTTGTAAACTTTTCGTAAACGCGCTTGAATAGGTTGTGAGCTCAATAGACATAATAGTGTGTTAAAACAAACAAGAAAACAGATAACTTGACGAAATATCTAGATGGGAGGAACAGGTAGCCCAGATATTCAAGCAGGCCGCCGAAAAAAATGAGTTCGACTTGATAAGACATCATTCATAACTCATGTCCTCTTAACCATACACTCAGCATATGTATCTGGTGCCCTTTGTACCAATATTTATGTGTTCAAATAAATAAATACACTTAGCTTGGCAGAACTCTAGACCTTTTTGTGTAATTATTTACAATTCACCAATAATAATAATAATAATTTTATATTCTGAAAAAATGATAATTACAGAATTCACGCCAGTTTACAGGCATGATCAATTTGATATAAATAATATCATAATATGTACAGAACAAACATGTGATATGAGTTTTAAGTTTACTAGTTCAGTAATTGTTTAGGTATTACAGCGATCCAATGCATCAGCCGGGAACATGTAATATTTCTTAACTGGACAGCCTGTTGATTTATGAACGGTGTAATTAAGGTCATTTCGTGTGCCAGATCGATTTAATGATAAATATCTACAACTAGAGAAATTAAAACGAAAACAGAGAGCACGGAACAACAAAGCAGTAATTACCGAAATATGTCAATCAGATCTATCAAAATGCGTATGTCATGTGACACAGTGATATACTGTTGATGATATTCAAATATAATACGTATAACTGAAAACGCTTATGACTGTGGGTCTTTGTTATGAAACCCACACTGTTATATATATGTGCATGTACCAGTTTAGAATCAATAGTAGTTGTTTATAACTCTACTAATTTTCACAACGGTGTTGTCAATTAAGATGATTCTAAACTTTTTCCATAGGTGGCCTGAAATCAACAAATGATTTACAACAGGTGCTAGATGAAATCACAAAAATGGACCCTTCTTTTGATTTGGAATCGTTTATACGTTATTGCCGATTTATCGTTATTCCAAATGTACTTGAGGTATGTACAGTACATCTGAAATGGCTTGTGATAAAATATGACATACTGGTTATCATAATTTTAAGTGATCATTATTAAGTTAGTGTTAATATTCCAAAATACTTGTTAGTGTTGAAGAGTAGTGATTGCTCTGCATGAAAAAGTTTATATTTATTTAAAAAATCAGAAGAGAAATTATTTATTATTAATAAGATTTAGGGATTTATGAAATTGAGGATCAATTAGTACACAAATAAGAATAATTTCATTTAATTTGAAACTACACATGACTGCTTATTTTCAGCATAAAACATGCAAATTTATTCGTTTCAAGTCGACAGACTTAATGGCATTTAATTTATAAAAATAGAAATATATTATACCCATCAGATCCTAGTTGTTCAGTTTATCTTGCAGAATGTCTTAAATATTTTGGCTGGTGCATCCGGGTCTACTTGACAAGTATATAGTTTCACTGAACGCCGTAGTAATTTAGATGTTTCATTATTGATACTGTTACATATACTACCCATACGTAAACTGTATCTTTCGATTTACCTTAGTGTAACAGTCTAGTACCAAAACAGTTAAGACACCTAAAAGGTGACTTATTATTTCTGTCCATATGGGGAGGGACTTTTATGTTTTCAGAAATCTCATGTTACGATTTATGGCATATTCTCACCCATTTCCTATATTACCTTAAAAATAAGAGGAAAACTATCCTTTCCCTCATTGTTCCATTTTCGTGTTTTTCCACAATGTTTAGATAGGTGTATATTTGTACTTATGCAGAACGTTACTAAGTTACAGAAGTTCGTTCCCACTTTTAAAAGCAGTTTGAATTCCTGATAAAAAGTGAACACTAATAGGCTATGCTTACTTTTTTTCAACCTAGAGTTAAGGTAATATCCGTTCTACCATTATTATTGCCTAATGAAGTTTAACTTCATTGGAAATTCTTTTCAATATTATTTATTCAACTGTTATCTCCTTCACATATGCATAGATATACGTCTTACCTTACACTGTTCGTTAAACAAATCTGTGTATGTTTCAGAAGAATGTAGCTTCCAAACACCCTGTTCAAATTATTTGCCAGTTTCGGTTTACCATTTTCCATATTTTGCAGCAAGATATCATGTTTATGTGATTTCTGTAACTATATTGTCGCATAAAGACAGTCAACTAATAAGGAAATAGACAATTCTAGGCATAATTACATGCGTAACAAGTATCAAAGTGTTTGATTTATAAACTATTCCGGACTTCCGAATGGCCCATTTTATGTGGTTGTATATTGCATACAGTTATTATACTGGTATCTCTGCTATGATTGCACACATCATAGTTAGCACTTCTGAAATGATTACGTGATGACTTATAATCCACTAGGTATTTTTCATATCATTATATTTTGTCTTATTAATTCAAGAGAATAAACATTGCACTTATAAATGTGTTTATAGGTATCAATTGCAAGGTTGAATTTGATAGTTCCAAATAAATTGAGCATTGGGTAGATAGTTAATAATGAATATATTTTTTTAAAGAGAGCAAAAAAAAAAGGTTGGTGCAGAATACTATGAATTCATTTTATTTCGTTAGGTTCTCATCAGCTGCTTACAACCTAAAATATTTGAAATTCAACGTTATTACAGATCACCTTGAAGGACAAACAATCAATTTCCAACCTTTTAAAATTTGCCGAAGCAATAGCAATCAAACGTTTAAAACCAAATCTTTGTATACAAAAAGAAACAGTAATAAATCTTTCTTTGCCCTGGTAACATTAACCCCTCTTTTATTTATTACGTCATTCCAACTCTTTCCAAACTTTTATAATTACATCATTCATAACTGATTTCAATTCATATCCTTCTTTATTACCATTAATCTATTTTTCAGTTACTTCATTACATAATCATCTAAAGTGTTTTAATTCCATGAGTTCTAATCATTATTTCTATGTTATGGAACCTTCCCTCCCAAACTATATATATTCGAAACAAATTTAATAACCTCATTATCTCTAACAACATCTTTGCTACATCATGTTCATCCTTCATCACCCTCTGATATATGTCAATATCTGTAATAACGTTGAATTTCAAATATTTTAGGTTGTAAGCAGCTGATGAGAACCTAACGAAATAAAATGAATTCATATTATTCTGCACCAACCTTTTTTCTTGCTCTCTTTAAAAAAATAAAGGGAACTATGTGTATGAAATATATTTTTTGTTACATTAAGTCACAAAACGTCAGAAACAATTTTTTTACTAATTGGGATATAGCAAATATATTTATTATTGCACTTATAGTCTACCCCTCTTCTCATGTTATATAATGCAGTCATCATAAATATTGTCGCTCTCACATATTCTTTTCATTTTAAAAATATATTATTTCATAAACATTTCTAGCATAGCATAGTTATGTTCGTCGTTGTGAGTAAAGTACCTTGCCGATGTGATATTCAAAGCACTCAAAACTTCAAACCTTCGTCTAGATTTATTGTTCTGTTAGTTTTTGGTTTTCCAAAAAAATTTTCTGAGCTCTCATGGTGAATATAATTTTTGCGCGAAACCTTTTTTCATTAGTTTTTTCTCTATATTTAGGCCATAGTAAGGGGAGACTTACGGATTCTCCAGGATTGGTGTCACGAGGCGGTATGTTCTTTGGTTCTTCTAATATAATTATTGTTTTAATAGCCATATAACGTGCTGGCAACACCTTTGAAACAGATTAAAGAACTTGGGTATATTTCTGAATCTCGCATACTGGATGTACATAATGTTGATGTGAGTTCATTTTTCTACCCCTTATTTATTTGTTTGATAAAGGTGGTATGTGAACTGTTCGATCATGTTTAAATTAAATTTTTAATAGAATTGGCATAATTTCCAAGTTTTAAACGTACACCTGTATGAAATGTGGCTTTTCTTCATTTTTTTCCTGTTTATAAAGGGAAATGAAGTTTAGTGCCTGTTTTACTGGCGATAATTATTGAAAATTTACCTATGACTATTGTTATTTCTGTGACTGTGAAGTGTAAAACTGACTTGAGCCTGATACTGAGACCCCGAGTCTAACGATGCGTACTGAAAACCAAAGAATGGTATTAATTTTTATTTGACCCCCAAAATGAAGAATACATACACTACCTTCTATATGATCTTTGTACAGTCCAAGACTGATCAAATCTCAGTCGAAATTATCGATAACGGGATAATCTAAACAATTTCAAATTGACTCAAGTCTCATATCCGTTGTATGAATGACTGTCCAGTTTCGTTAGATAATCAGATAAGGTGATGGCATTCGAAGTGAATGGTAATATGTCCGTGTCCCAGTTTGAACATCCCCTCAGGTTCTGGTACATCCAGCTGACGAGTCCCAAATAATATGAGGTGCATTGCAAGCCACATTCCATTTATTCTGTATCAATCTGTTTAGTTAGATTAACAATCAGATATGTTTAATTTGACTGAGTATCATTTAACATTAATTAATCAGTAGTTTTTTATGTCAACATATAATACTGACCTGATTTTGATCTTTTGGTTGTCATATCAATTAGATCATTTTTCGTCTTATAAAAGCCGAAAAAACAATGATTTAAGTAATTAAAGTCCTCACTGTTTTATATGTGCTGTTTATGGTACTGAGGCGTTACAATTTTGGAAATTTATAATTTTGTTATTCGAAAATTTGCATAGGTTCAAATGGGCAAAATGATGGAGCAAGGACCAGTGCTGATAATTTCATTCCAAGCACAACAAATAAATTGTATTCGTGACAAAAACAAAAATCTACATGAAGGTGATCCAAATAAAGTGTTACGTGTGACAAATGTTTGGGCTTTGTGTCGTGATCAAAGTGAAATGAATCCGTTAGCAGCATGGCGTGTGTTAGATATTGCCATGATGCCATCTGAACAATGGATGTGATAATTGTTCTTATACTAGCACCGCAAATTGTGTATTTTAAATCAAAATTGGTAAATATCTTTTTATTAATTTTCCTACATTGAAAATGTATGTACAGTTTGATTACTTAATCTTTTGAACAGCAATGCTTTTTAATCTCCAGACTTCGTAGAACACGCACAATTATCGTCTAAACTTTAGTCGATCAATATTTTGTGCATAATTTCTTAATTCGGGTAACTTTTCTTCTACACAAAGCATTTATATGTAAGTATTGAACTAGATTTTAGTCAAAGCAATGAACTTATGTTTCGTTTTTTTCGGGCAGTTTGAAATCCTTTTTTGCTTCAAAATATTTGTATTCATTATTAATCTACTTGCGGATTATTTTATACATGATTCAATATCTCTCCATAACTGTTAAGGGTAGACAACCAAATGTCAATGGGACGATTACGTACTAGATAGAAGTAACTTTTTGAGCGTATACATCAAGAGTGAATGTAACTACATTTTTACTGATCTTCACATTTTTTTGCGTAAGTTGTTTCGGACTAATACATATATATGTATGTGATAAGGGCAATCTAAGACTAAGTTACATATATATACTACTTTACGTCCAAAAGAAAAAAAATATTGTTTTATTGAGTCAAACTCCGCTACGGACAATTCGAACCTTTTTTCACGGATTTTTTTCAGTAGATACATTCGACTATCTATTTAACAGAATGTTATTTAGAAGACTAACACAGGCTTAAAATCAAACCATGGTCCATCTTGTTACTGAAAACTATAATACGCTGTTCGCGTTAAGTCTACCTAATATCATAGCCCAATTAAGATGTTCTGTATGGTCTAATGAAACTCATAAGTAAGAAATATGACTCAGTACAATTACAGTTGCTAAATGATTAAATTATCAAGCGTACAACATATCGCAGATTTTTTAAAGTTCTCTGTTGTATATCTTCGCTTGATACTTGTTATTGATTTGACATGCGCACCACTCATTTTACCTCGTGTGACGGAGAACCTTCAACGGTAGACATTGGTTATTAAGCAAACAGCACCTGGCACACCTTAGACGAACATGTGATGATTTCTCAAGCCGATTGGATATTTGACCTAGCTGCTTTTGCTTTTTCTTAGTTTGTTATTATGCATGTCTTTTAAACACAGTTGTCGGTGGTCAGACTACTGTTTACTAGTACTTTATGCCTAACACTGGCACTTCTCAATCTCCCGTTTAAATGTACACTAGAAGTGGTGAGTATGCATGTGACCAAGACAAGGACATCATACTTCAGATAAAGGACGTTGGATCTCTGTACTAAGCTCTTTTCTGACTTATATACTAGACCCCCAATTGCCTTGACATAATCGACAGCGACAAGAGCGCTTTTCCTCCCGAATTACTGTCATACGGCCGTGCGTTTACAACCTATTCCAATTTAGTCTTACTAGTTTCATATTGGCAAAGGTTCTTTCACATAAGTAAGGATGCAGAATCAGATGGCACGTGTGCTCAAACTTAGTATGACGAAACTCAGAACAGCTAGCAATTTCGCTCGTAGAATGTCGATTATACAGTGCCTGTGAGATCCGCTCTGATTTATATTAATGGAAAATGACCCTAATCTGAAAGATTGTTCACATTCGGTAAGAACACTGCATGAGTAATCCCGAAGTCGTACAATGTATTCAGAAGAGTGATTATAACTGTTGTTTATACGATCTTGAAGCATCGGCTTAGGTATCGTGGGTATACTATATGAATATCATCTTAATGGATTCAGCGTCACATAACTTTTTAAGATTCCTCAATTGAGCTCAGGAAGTGGAAGTAACTAGCTAATGATAATTCGCCGTGTAGTAAAATATACCTCTATAAAAGTTCCACCTTTCAATGCACTGAAACTTCAATGGGTTCCAAAAATCACGTAACACACTGTCTTGTGATTTTATTCGGGATAGTCCAAAAAAGATAATGGTGATCCGGCTGTAACTATATAACCTTTATAAGGTGAGATGCACCTTCCTGATTAAATGAATTCTGTCTTGTTTTTTTCTTAAAAGAGGTATACATTTAAGTAATTAGTGTTCTTTTTCATTTATTTTCTAATTATGTGGCCATCCCCTCTTCTGTTTCGTCCTAAATATCATTTTACATATTGTGATTCTGTATTGTACCAAAAGTCATGTTTTATAAGTATATATTAAAACATGACTAAATCATTTAAAGATAAATAAATAACATTATTCAAAGAAAACATCTAGTCGTTGCATCTTTACGTGTTTTTTCGAAGCGCTCCTAGTAGTTTCTCCTGTTTTATTGCTATTTCTGTTAATAAAAATATCCTCACATTTGGATCTTCAATCTGATTAATCTCTTTCTGGAGCTTGTTTACAACTTCACCAAAAACCTCATCTTTATCCTTAATACCGGTGTTGTCATTTGACTCCTCGATTCTCTTTATGTGGTACTTAAATAGGTTTTCTGCATATTCAATCCACACACAATTTGCGCATCCAGATTCACAACAATAGGAACGGTGTGGAGGTTCTGGTTCAGAATCAGTATTTGGAAAATAGTTTCGTCTCCATAGACGTATTAAACAATTGGATACAGTGCATATAGTAGAATGATTGGAATTCAGTTTACGTAATAAATCCATGTACACTCACTCCATGAAATGTGTATAAAACAAAACAAAATAAATAGGTATTTTATAGTGATTAAAGTTTGTAAGTGAACGGATGGTTGTTAACATAAATAAATTATATTCATCTACTGAAAGATATACTACTCATATAATTTATAGATATTGAGTTTTTAAAGGTGATCAACATAATCTGTAGACCTACGCTACAAAATTCATCGTATGACTATACTGTTGGTTTTGGGAATACGTCTTCGATTCTTGGTTTATGTTTCATAGTTGTACAATATGTAAGACAACTGTGAAATATACAAGTGAAACGACTGAATCAGTAAACCTGTGATTTACATACACGGAAGTTATAATGGAATAGGAAAGAACTTCAGTCCATTATAAACGATAAAATGCAAAAAAATAATCTGACGACCATCTTAAGTATATGTATTTTTTCAAACTATTGGACGAGTTTCGTCAGCAATATGTTAAAAATCCGAGAGATTTTGGAATGCTATTGAACTAACTAGTTGGGTAAATTTGTTCATAAGTTAGGCATATCTTCTAATCATCTCTTGCATTAGTCATATGGTGCAATTAGTAAGAGTTCACATAACGTGATGTTTCAACTTGAACATTAGTAACCCATTCCAAAATGTAAGACTGGATAATTTTATCTTAGTGGACGCTTCGCGGACAAACAAGTTACCTGGTTTGGTGAGGGGACAGTCAAATATGAACTTAACAAACGGAAGTTAAATTGAACACAGATAATCTCAGCTAATGTTTCGTGGCAATTACTCCAGATCAGCAAATAAATGGAGTTGAGAAATATAAGCATGACAATCACATGGTCAGTATGTTACGTAAGGGTACTACGGCTTAATGTTACAGTAATCTCAGTATGCGAACTATTGCTCACGGATGTTGCATTAGTAAAAAAAACCCAAACTGTACACATAACGTGCATGCAAAACCAATATTCCACGTACAGGCAATACTTTAGTACACAAAGTGACTTCAAATAACATTTATTAAGAAAGAAATATACAATAAAAATATTTCGACTGTATGGTTATCGAGTACTAGCTGAAACTTGGTTTCACAAAAAATTCACTGTAGAAATGATGTGCTTATTTTTTACTCCACTGCAGATGAATCTGTCTCAAACGTTGATGATATCTCTCGGGAATGTTTAACTCTGGATAAACAGTAAGAAGTTCGCCTAAATTTAGTAATTCTTGTAAGTTACGATACACGTATGATTCAGAATCCATTGATTTTACATCGTTCCCAGTTTTTAAATTGTCACTTGCACATAAACATGATAAGCCAGAAAGAGAAAGGTAAGTATGAAGTGGATCTAAAATAAACAAGGAAATTACAAATAAACCATATCCCATAAATCACCAAAAATAAATATACTAAGTATACTTAATTATTTTTACAAGTGAATATCTGTAGAAACACTAAATTTTGTCAGACAAATATCATCAACATAATGCTTGAGGCATATGTACGTTGTTCTAAGTTGTCATGACACATTGGCACTATGAGATAAAAAATAAGGTGAATTGAAAAACATATCGAAATAAACAGTGATAAGAAAGAGTAAACACGGAGAATATGTTTTGAACAAATGGACTGGAAATTTCTGTGTGAAGTGATGCTGAAATTCAAGATCAAGAATGAGTACATCTGTGCTATTGTCAACGACTTCGATCTTTTAAATAATACAGCACTTCACACTGCTGTTTATTAGGAGATAGTACAGGCCTAACTACCAGACACACAAAACTAAGTTCCCTACCTTAAGGTTCATAATGATACGCTTTGTGATGTACGTTGTTTTTTAGTATTGTCACGGAAGAATTTACAATTACTAACAAAAAACAATACATCACAAACTGTGGTGCAGATATTTATCAATTTCAAGACTGATGAAACCTATTTCATTAAGGGAGTATAAAAATAAACTATGTACAGGTCAATTGCATTTCAAATGTCGAGTGATAGATTAATTTGTGTTGTGGTACACATTATCTTTGATTAGACAAGGTCAACATGGACGGTTCGTGGAAACGCAAAATAAAACGCCAAGTCGTAAGTGTAGGGATACCGTTTTTCATGTAGCGCCTTCGTATAGTTTAAGTTTGGAAATTATGTTTCAAATATGCAGAGAAGAAAACTACCTTGAGAAAGCAAAAAACACTTAGTAAGGAAGTTAATAAGTTGCACTGCGTAGAGTATGAGAACAGCTAGGCTTTTACCTGGGGTACAAAACTGGTCAGGAGTCTTTGTGAATGCCCCAATAACATCATTCCAACATCTTGTTACAAAACGAACAGCTGAGTTCTTATCGACCAGATGATGACAGTTTAGTATCTATTAAAGAAATTATTTAAAACATTGAAGTTGATAAATTCACCCAATTCAAATTATGTTAACCTACAGCAATAGGATTGACTAGGAAGTTTTTACTACTGAATGCATTTACAAGTGATATCAATGTGTGACGTAACCTTAGACTCACTGGCCACTCGTACAATCAATACACTATACGAAACTTCGAGGCAAAATATTTATCA